GATTCCACTCGATCTAAAATAAATTGAAACCCAAGAAATCAAGAACTCGAGAACTATTTTCTCTCCTTTTTCAAATACCTCTGGTTTTTTTTTTCTCTTCCTAATTTTTTTCTTTGTCTCTCTATGTGTTGTTTGGCCTTAATACTTGGTTATATTTATAACCAATGTGTCCTATTCCTTTTCAAACTAGTTTTTAAATCTAACATAATCTCTCTTCAGATTTTCAATTTGATTAGGATTGATACCAACATATTCTTATCTTTGCATATATTATATCTCTTCTCTTTTTTTTCTTTTTTTTTATTTTTTATATTCAAAATTCAATACCCCAGCTAAAATGGGGTGTCTACACACAACAATCAAAAACTGCCCTAGCAAAAAACTAAGCCACAGCAACTCCACACCCTAGACTAGCAAATACTATCTAGGTCACCATAAATCCAAAGAAGTTCATCGATTATTTGAGCTTCAACTTTAGCTAAAGAGTCAACAAGCTCATTTGCCGATCTTGGAATTTTACCAATGCACCAGTTAACAAGTATGGAATTAAGAAAATTCAAATGCATAGTGACTGACCTTAGTTTCCAATGAGTGTCATGGGGACTGAGGACCCATTTCATGGCATTTTGAGAGTTGCTTTCAAAGATGACCTTATTATCAGCCTATCTTGAAGCAGCATAAACTAGCATGGCCTTACAAATGCTTTGTATTTAACAGTATTAGCATCAAGGTTACCCATTGGGGAAAAAGTAATAAGGACTCTACTGTTACTATCACGAAGCACACCACTAGCCCTTACTACCCTTGGACTACCTTTCGAAGCACCATTCACATTAAACTTCAGAACACCCATAGGGGGAGCTAGCCATGGCATCGTTGGTTTCACTATTTTAATAGTAATGGGGGCAGAAGCAGAATTGGGGAATCGTGAGAGATCCATGATTAAGATATTAATGTCTAGCCATTTGCCGTTAACCCACCATGCAACTCTCAACTTAATCGTATCATAAACTTGAAGGATGTCCCATAGCTTTCCTTTGAAGATAAGCTCATTGCATATAAACCAAGTAGTCTAGATGATAACAAGAAATGCCATTTCCCAATAGGGCCAAGTCTTAAGGACTTTGCAGCCTCGCTTGAAAGTTGCTTATTGGATTGGCATGCAAAACCCTACTAAGTTCTTAATCACTAACCCACTTATGCCATCGTGACCAGGTGCCTAGACATGAGAAGAACAAGTGCTCAATTGTTTCCAAATTAGAGTGGCAAATGAGACAATAAATCGAATCAGCTCTGAGTAATCGTTTTTTCAGAAGAACATCGTGAAACAACAATCTTACTGTTCAACATTAACTAGCGAAAAACTTCAACTTTGAGAGGAGTGAGCCCTTTCCATAAGTCTTTCTAATGGTTGACCTTCTCATGCGATAGTTCCAAGACTGTTCTGCAAAAAGATCTTGTATTGTAAAATACCGCAGGGAGAATGCTTCCAAACCAGATTAATCATAAGCGTTATTTACTCCTATAGTATATTTGTTGAAAAATTTTTTGATTGATGAAAACAAAAATATTTGTTCAATTTATTTCTATAATATAATTTAAATATTTTTGTCATTACAAATGTTAATAAAATTCATCTCATTTTTAAATAATAATTTTAATGGCATGGCAGTCATTTTAAATATTTTTTATTATTAATTATTAATAAAATTTACTTAAGTTGTAAATATCGGATGACTTTCGTTAAAAATATTTTTTTATTATAAGTAATAATAAGATTTATCTAATATATAACTAAAAATTCTAATTGTATCAAATAACTTTTTAGGTAAAATATTTTCTTAATTGTAGTAGTATTGAATAAATTATAAATTAATGATTTCTAAATATATTATTATTTAAAATAAATAAAAGCAAGAATTGACTTCAATGTCCAAACATTTAGCTAATTGATTGGTATATATTCTCTCTACCTAGAGAGCAAGATTCAAATCTCCCTTCCCTCAATTAAAAAAAAAGTATTAACTTCAATGCAGGTGATAACAAGTCTTAATAAAAGGAAAATTACTTTGAATACTTCAATTGAGCAAAATTGACTTTTTCTTATTAAAAGTTTCAACAAAATTAAATTGAATTTATAATCTGTAAATTAAAATTAAAGGATTAAACCTAAATCCAAAACAAACATCATAAACGTGGAAAGCAATTTAAATCTTTGAAAGGACGAACAACAATTAATCCATCAAACTATTTCTTATAGTTTAATTTATTATATTTGGTAAACATGGCTTGGATCTTCAAGTCCTAACAAATTCATTTTCCAACCTCCAAAACCTTTTTGTTGGACAAAAATATATATAATATTCAATAAATCCGGGAATAGCCTACACTCTTATTCACCCTATCAAATTCTCCAATAAAATAGTAAAACGATTTATCAAAAGCAGGAACTCTGCCTCGTCTTGGTGCTCCATCGAGACATCATTTTTTGCCATGATTTCATTCCAAGTTAGTCGGACGGTGGGTCTAAAATCTGATTTTCTTTTTCCACGTTTAGAATAATTTGCAGCCAAATGTTGGGTGCCACTTTTCTTCTCTCTTTTAGTAATATATATATATATATATATATATATATATATATATATATATATTCAAAGACATTAATGCATTTAGAAGAAAATTGGGTCTTCGCATGTTGCTTTCCGTCCATTAACATAATTATCACATGCTTGATTAGATAGAATAAAAGAATTAAGAAAGATCCATCCAACTGTATACTTGCAAATACGTCAACATAGGAAATGTGGAAAATTCTCTCTAGACTATTTAATTTAATAATTTGAAACTTGTAAGAAGCAATCGACGTTGATATATACGTTCTTTATTTGTAATAAATATTGCTTATTAAAAAAAAACCATAGAAACCTCATTTCTAATACGTAAGAGGGTACGATTTGCCTATATTAAATCGATAAAATTTGGCCACCAATTTATGCTCCCATCTAGTACTTGACGTGAAGGTTCAACAAATTAAATTTGGCCTAACATATGATGGCTTGATGTGCATTATTTCCCACTTTTCTCTGCCGATTAAGTATTCCCCATTAAGATTGCTTCCAATGTTTCCATAAAAGTTATTTTCCTCCTTTTTAACTTGTATCACATATTCATATTTCCAATCTAATAGACATACCGATTAAATAAAAGAAAATTCTTACTCGTAAGTCCAAAACTCACTTCATTCTTTTCTGATGTCTTTCACTTATGGAGCGAAGGGTGTCACTTTGATCTGGGTCTATCTCGACTCTTTTATGCGAGATCTTATGTACAATAATGAATTAGTTGAAGAAAAATCCTTATTTATAAGTCTAAAATTGTTTTGTCTTTTATTTTTAAGAGGCATAATTATCTATTTATATGTCTATATGTGTTGCTAAGTGTTATTATAATAATTTAATTAAATTTCAAAATCAATCAAGCTTAGAAAACGTAATTACGATCTAAGTGCATTTTAATCCACTATAGTTCAATTACTCGACATTTATTCCCTTAGTTATTTTTAAAACTTTTTTTTGCTCTTTTTTTCTTTTCGACGTGGGATTATGTGAGCGGATGGTATCGAAAATATCACTCTGTCATAGTAAGAACTGGTATACCTTTTCAGGCTCTAGCTCAAGCAAAAACATTTTGGAAACGCCACAAGTGCATTCAGGAAGGAAGACATAAGTACTCAATTCATCGCAAATTTCTTTCAGCTTTGAATTATATATAGATTGCCCTAGACATGTTATCTTGAAATGGCGAACATTAAATCACGTTTCAATTGATAAACTCTTTAAGGAGCATTACTTGATAAAATCTTTCTTCAATGTGAATCCAGACTCTGAGAGTATTGGCTACATATATGCAACACTATTGTGAAGATTTGCAGCAAAGCAAGTTAAACAACCATTAGATTACCATTGAGTTGCACATTGTTGAGTTTTAGGTTGACTAGATTTCTATATTTTATTTGATTAGAATTTTAGTTTATGTACAACATTAAGTAGTTGCATAGTTTTAAACTTCTTATTCCACATAGAGTCCTAATCACATTCTACTTTGGACTTTTATACTATAAAAGTATATCTTTAGGCTTTAGAGTGGTAAGTAGTGCTTTGAGAGCTTTAGAGAAGTAACACTTTGTAACTCTGTCTTTTGCTCTAGGTGGAGCTAAAGTGCGGGTGAGTGTTTTTAGAAGGTTATTGAGAAAGAGTGTGCAAGGGATCTTGGGTTGGTTTGAGGAGCCATAGAGGTCAATTTATTTTACTTTAATTTCTCAATAATATAAAAATAGTTTCACTCCGTGGACGTAGGCAAGAGGCCGAACCACGTAAATTCTTGTGTTTTTCTGTTTGCTTGATTTCTCTGGGTTTTATCTTTGTTGTTTCTTGAGCAATTTTCACAACACACATCCCCAAGCAGAGATATCTGAAGAATTGGCAACAGGTTTCTCAAGAGAGTCATCAACAAAACCATATTTGTTTTTGGCTTAAAGAGCATTGGTAATATTTTAGAAACATATAAATTATTCAAATAAAAAAATTTTGCCTCGCGGCAAGGCGCGGACAAAATTCTAGCCTTTTATATGTGAAATTAGTAACTACTTTATACAAATGGATGACGAAGTAACTCACAATCTCCAATTCTGCGTCGTTAAGATGAGCCGGCTACACGCGGCCACAGCAGCTACCGGCTTCGTGTCGCCACCTTGTCTTGGCTTGATGAAACTTTCTAAAACTGCCAAAGCCTTATACGTTTGCCACATTGTTGAAAAGTGTCAGAAGTTGAACGACCAAGAGGACGCAGGTGTCACAATTTCAACACGTAGCAACTTCGAACCTAGCATATGGGTCCTATATAAGGAGATAATGAAATAGCTTTACTGATCAGTGAGCACTGTTTTTAGACTTAAACCCTAATCCCCTTTAGCTTTGGAGAGAAGAAATAATAGTGGAAAGATGCAGTCAATGCAGGAAACAGCTGCCAATGCAGGGGCCTCCGCTAAGGCTGTCTTGGAGAAGGCCAAGGCCTCCGTGCAGGAAAAGGTTTATAATCACTTTATTTTTTCTTTTTTCCCCTTCAAAGGGTTTGCTATTTAGTGCTTATAAAGGCATTTCTTATTTTATTTTGCAAAGATCAAAGATCATTACCACATTGTCAATTGAAGACTTTATCAGTTTAATTACTGAGTGTCTTAAAAACATTCATAGTGTTGACAAATGTAAAGTGAAAATATATATATATTTTATTTGATGGACTACTATCACTACATTTGCCTTTACTTTAGATAGAACTTAACATCATAATCGTCGTCAATATTAATTTGTGCATAGATCGTTGGCGTTTGCATTGATGTCTTTATCCAATTAAGAATTTCAATGCAAGAATATTAATTTGCGTTCACCCGAGTGCTTATTGAAATCTAATCTAAATGTGCAATTATAGGTGGACAAAATGAAGACCAGAAACCCTAATGAGAAAGAGATGGCGAGAGAGAGGAAGGAAGAGAGAAAAGAACTAGCAGAGCAGATGAAACAAGAGGCCCGGGATCAAACCGCAACAGCTAGGCAAGCTGGTGGTGGCTACACCACGGGTGGCGGGTACAATAGAGGCGACGCTCGTGGCTACGGCGACGTCAACCTTGGCTACACTACCACGGGTGCTGGCTATGACGAGGGCAGGAACGTTGGCTACGGTGGCAACGTCGGCTATGATGGCAATGTTGGCTATGCTGGAGACACAACAGGTGGTTACACTTATTCGACAACTGGGAGCCAAGATTACCGAAGTGGGGAATACGAGGGTAGGAACTGGGAGGAGCGGGAGCCTAACAATGCTGCAGGGACGACTAGAAGGAACACCCGCTTGGCTGGGGATGATCCATATGGACCATATCATTGAACAATGGGCGAGTTTTTGTGCTCTGAATGAAGACTTAGAAAGTCAGTTTGTGCTTTGTCGTATGGGAGTTGGAAGTTGTTCGGTTTTCCCTGTTTTTCTTTTCTTGGTAAGTAGAGAGTCAAGAGTCAAGGATGTGTTTTCAGCTTGGCTTTCCTTTTGTTCTCATTTTGGCTTCCTCCTTTTGTTGAGGTTGAATGTAATGTCTTCTTTCAGAGCAGTTATATATATATATATATATAGAAATCAATAAAGTTGGGAATAATTAGACAGAAAAACACGTCTCCGTCAATAAATGTTTTCTTTTTCTTTTTCCCTTTGAATGATTTTTATAGAAGAAAAGGCTCATAAGGAGCTGTCGATCTTTGAATTTGTTGAACGTTGAAAGATTACTTAGGACAGGGAGCTTCTTTATTTTGGAGTTGGATTGACCAATTTTTATAGTGATATATTTGCATGCATTCCACACGTTTAATTAAGACAGAGGCAAACCAATTCAATTCAATACTAGTAGTATTTGACTGTAATACAAGACGTAGGTACGAAGTGGCTGATCAGAGCCAGAGCCCCACTTAGAGAAATGCATAAATTAGTATAGAAATAATTAACAACTATTGTACATTTTCATGTTTTTCCCTCTCAAATTTTGTGATTGCAGAGAAACTTTTACTTCAAATAATAATATGATACGATTTATCATGCAAATGTTCAGTCACCGTACGTAAAAGTGTTTAGTTCAATTAAGGTTTGAGTCGCGTTATAAACATTGGGCGTAAAACCTACTTAGTTCAATGGCATTAATTAAGCACTCGTATCTTTATTTATTAGATTTGAGGTAGTTGCATTATAAATGCTTTGTGAGGTTTCAGGTTTAATTAAGTCCAGTTATAAATACTGATATGAAAGAAAAATTTTGTGTTTTAAATTTCATATTTATAAGGAAACTAATGAAAACTAATGATATTATAAATATATATGTCTGATTAAACCAACACATAGGTAATAAAAGTAAAATTAATAATTAAGAAGAGTACCTAACAAGGGAGTGAAGATATTTTTATTATAGGTCGAAAAAGTAAGTCAGATGATACTTGACTTAAAAAAAGATGGTAACAATTAAAATTGGAGGGGACTTCAACCTTCAAAGAATACAAATACAAAAAAAGAGGTGAAAAACTTTGATTCTGGACTCGTCCTTTCACATATATATATATATATATATTTGTCGATATAAAATGTTACAAGTATTTAAAGCTTTTGGCAAAACTGTAACTATATATCAACATTCGGTTTGCTTGGATCCTAGACAAAGCGAATCCATCAACTTGCCCTTGAAGAAACGGAAAACCAAAAGCAGTGCGGTAACCAATACAAGCATTGACACGGGCGCAGTGGCAGAACAACTGTTGGCCTGGTGTCGCCACACATGCTCAACTTGCCGGGTTTGGAGAAAAATAAAACTTCCATTAACGACCAAAACTTCCTCGCTGTCTCAACAGTTCGACAAGTGGCAATTACGTGTCAGCAAATAACAAAAGCCCTGTCCCGAAATGCCACGAATGTTTCTTAGGTACACGTGGCAGAAACTCAGATGGCCCTCTCATCTATTTAATCGAAAACGATTAAGTTGTTGGAACAAGCGAGAGGTTTTGATAGAGTGAAGGCGAAAAGACGGTAGAAAAACAGAAAAATGCAGTCCCTAAAGGAAACAGCAGCCAACATAGCGGCCTCTGCCAAAGCTGGCTTGGAAAAGACCAAGGCAACAGTGGAGGAGAAGGTTCATTTCTTTTCCCATCCTTTTAACCTCAAATTTTAGGGTACAATATTAGATAAGACTTTATTAGTATCATAATTATTATAAGGCGAAGCTTATTCCGCTGAACACGGTCATACAAAAGAAAGCAAATAATTCTTTTGAAGTCCTATTTATTTTTCTCATTTCGTAATTTTTTTTGTGTCCAACTTTTCACTTTAAACGTTGGGTAATGCCTACTTGCACTTGGCGGATCACTTGACCTGTTCCTTACAACAAGTTGGACGACCTTACTTTTTGTAGTAAAAGAACTCAACTTGTCTTATCATGGTGGCCAGTGGCCACTAGTGCACTAGGCAATTTCCTGGAAGGAACCAAAATTTTATGCCTTGAATCTTAATGATCACCAATCATCGCTTGGTTTAATTTGGAGATGGAAAAAGCGGTGATGCAGGTGGAGAAATTGACTGCCCATGACCCAGTGCAAAAAGAAATGGCGACTCAAAAGAAAGAGGAGAGGATCCACCAGGCAGAACTTGACAAACAAGAGGCGCGTATGCACAATGCGGCGGCGAAGCAAGCCGGCAGAGACGACGGCTATACGGCAACAGGCACACATGCCTACACGGCAACTGGCACACATGCCTACACGGCAACTGGCACTCACACGCATTCGACGACTGGGGATCGTGGACAGCCCACTGGGGACAGACAGATGTCAGCTTTGCCTGGACACCGCACTGGGCAGCCCACTCTGCAGGTGGATGCCGGTAGGGCAGAGGCCCATCCTATTGGGATCAATACTGGTGGGGGTGGGTCCAAGACCCATAATACGCGAGTGGAGGGGATTCCCCACGGGTACGGGACTGGGGGGACTTGCAGTTGAGATGGCTTTTCTGGTTTCCTTTGAATAAATAAAGTAATAGGTTTTGTTTGCCATTCAGTTCTAGGGCCCTTTGTGTGGGTGGGTATGTTTGGAACTTGCTCTTTGTAGGAATGAAATGATTTGCCTTTTAGTTGTTCCAAATAAAAATAAGATTGATTTATGTGCTTTTTCTCTTTATTATAATGATCAATCATGTGAAAAACAAATGGCCAGGTACCAATGTCACGCTAGAAAGAAGTAATTAAAATGTATCTAAAAATTATATATCGAACAAGTAGAAAAATTTTAAAAAATTTATAAATGATGATGTTGTACAATTTCTCAAATTAATTTTTGAAAAAAAAAAGTAATGATTCTACGATAAATAATATCAAGCACTTTTGGAGAAGATAGCAGGGTGGTCCATGTCAAGCACCTTCAAAGGAGGAAGGCAAGGGGTCCATGGCGACAAGTCGTCGTTGAATTGGTTGGGTGAAGATGTCAGTAAGGTGGTTCATGCCAAGCACCTTCGGAGAAGGGAAGCAAGGTGGTCCATGGCGAAAGGGTCGTTGGATTAGCGTTTTAGGGAGAGTGCAAGTAAGAAAATAAAATGTATTAAAAATCTGTTATCGAACAAGTAGAGAAATCTTATAAATTTATAAATCATGACGTACAATTTTCAAATTAGTTTTTGAGAAAGAAAGTAATGGTTCTGTGACAAGTAATATCAAGCACTTTTGGAGAAGACAGCAGCGTGGTCCATGTCAAGCACCTTCGGAGGAGAAGGCAGGGTGGTCCATGGCGACAAGGTCGTCATCGAATTGGTTGGGTGAAGATGTCATAGGGTGGTTTGCAAGCACCATCGGAGAAGGGAAGCAAGGGTCCTGGCGACAAGGCGTCGTTGGATTAGCGTTTAAGGAGAGTGCAAGTAGAGAATTTAAAATGTATCTAAAAATCTTTGATCGAACAAGTAGAGAAATCTTAATAAATTTATAAATGATGACATACAATTTTCCAAATTAGTTTTTGAGAAAGAAAGTAATGGTTCTGTGACAAGTATATCAAGCACTTTTGGAGAAGACAGCAGCGTGGTCCATGTCAAAGCACCTTCGGAGGAAGGCAGGGTGGCTCATGGCGACAAGGTCGTCATCGAATTGGTTGGGTGAAGATGTCAGGTAGGTGTTTATGCCAAGCACCTTCGAGAAGAGAAGCAAGGTGGTCCATGGCGACAAGGGCGTGTTGATTAGCATTTTAGGGACAGTGCAAGGGATATATAGATATAAGTCCCAAATTGGAAGGAATGAGGAAGAGCCCGATGGTGGCCCCTGAAGTGAGAATGAATATAAGCTAGAACTAGAAACTTCACCACAATACATAAAAAACTATGGGTGAACCTGGAAACTGGTAACCTTAATCTTTCCTTGCAAAAAACTCGAGATAATAGATGGTCAGAATGTAAATGGCAGCCAATCCTATTAAAAGAAAGAAACACAGAATACAAACACCAGTCCAAGCACAAAATGATGCTTACCATCTCAGGAAGAAAAGCCGACAACCACTCTGAAAAATTGTATCTTGAAACTAGTTCATTAATAAAGTTTAACCATAGTTAAAATTCTCATATATTTTAGGCACGTTCCTTAAATAGCCTTTCACTTGATGTTTGTTGGATAGAATTGCTCTTTGCTTCGTGGTACGTTACATCCAATTGATCTTCTCTATTCTGGAAACTCCACTCCGGCAGAGAACCAAACAATCACCAAGTTCAGAGCATAATCCCAGCTTGAATCCAAAACAATGCTATGCTAGGGGCAAAACAATCAGAATTTGATTACAAATTTTTACATCTTATTAGCATTAAGTGATCCAAAATCAACTAATATGAACTACCAAACAACTGAGATTTGTGTTTAATGAAATCGATAGGCCCACTCACTCCTGCAGATCTACCTAATCAGTTAAACTTTGTATATTAGCTACAAGTAACAAACCCAAGCCCAATATCCCAACAATTAAAAGAACGATTATTTACCTGCATAGGTAGATTGCTCAGACGAAGATGAGATACAAACAAGGTTTAGACACTTTATTCTGCGTTTTTTATTTTTTCTCACTGCCAGCTCTGCATTTACCCATAAACAACATTGCACTATGCTTTATACTTTCTAAATGAAATATTTATATTTCATTATTCCTAAATTGAGATTTCAACTGTCATTGCAATTGCTGGTGCTGTTGGAGTATCTACTTTCGAAATTCAATAAAAATGAGAAAAATGATGAATATTTAGAATCATGTTTTAGCATGTATTTTAGTCATTATACTGTAAGAATTATCGTATAGCATATTAAATTAAATGCTACACATGTATTGATAAATATTTATACTGTCAAAAATATATCAGTTTAATAATAATTCTAAATTTATAAAATATTGAATTTCAATAACACAAAAAATACTGTTATCACATTTATTGATTATCAGGTTAAATGCCTCACTTCATGATGACATTTTGGTTATTTACACAATTTAAGACCATGCCATGACATTTTAATACCAATTAGATAATTTTGCACATTACTAATATTCCTCTGGCAATTTGTATCAGATTCACAATTGATGAGATGAATTAAACATTTGTGCATATGATTTTCATAGTCATCCTTTTCATAAAAACCATCGTACCAGCTATTATTTAGCAAAATTCATGACTTTTATAACAATATTCAAATATTTATATCCATAAATACATGTATATCCGAAATATCTACAAAAATTCAGGAATATACAAACATATCCATAAATTTTTTATTTGAAAATAAATTAAACATTTATGTTGAGCTTAATTACGTAGGATGGCAATTGCCAAAGAGATAAGTACTTAATTTGTTAATTGTGTGGCTAGAATTCTTCGAAAATGTCTAAATTAGGACAGGAATCGAAGCTCCAGCCAATGGAAAGTGAAACCAAGCTTTCTATAAGGGAAAAAATGTTTATGACTAATCAAAAAGGCTTGAGAAACTAATTTCATCTGTAGTGAATCCAACCAACGATCATGGAAGGAATGTCTCTTCGCGTAATGTCAAAATAAAATGGAAGGGCTTTGTTTACTACTGCTCTGATTGCAAGTTTGGACTTACTCTTGACGATGTTTCGGCACGGCCCATCATCGCAGCAGCGAGCCATCATGAACACCCATGGAGTCTTCTATCAAGAGAAATGTCATTCATCTGTGATTTTTGTGGCACCCATGGATATCGAACTCCCTATCTCTGCATCCCATGTAAGCTTCTTGTTCATAAGAATTGCGCTTCAATGCCAGGCACCATTAGGATAATGTGGCATCCTCACCCAATTTCTCCCACCTATTCTGTCCAGCTATTCAGTTTGAAATGTGGGAGTGTAGAATTTGTTACCAACGAGTGAATTCACTGTATGGGTGTTACTATTGTTCTGCTTCTTGTTGCAGTTATATTGTTCATCTGAATTGTGCAACGGATAAAAAGATTTGGGCTGGAACAGCTTCCCTTGAAGACAATCATGGAGATGAATCGGAAAATTTGATCGACCATGTTATTAAAGAAATGAGCATGGGAGATGATGTAATAGAAACAGAGATCAGACATGCTTACCATAATCATAACTCACTTGGAGTGGTGAGGTTAAAGATTGTAACAATTGCGATGGGTGCATGAGATCCATCTCAACTCCTTTCTATAGTTGTCGCCCAAGTGGGTTTTTTCTCCATAAAACTTGTGCTGAATTGCCTAGAGAAAAGCGATACTTCAATCACAAGCACCCACTTACCCTCACGAAGAATGATAATGCATTTCGCAATGTGATTCAGGATGTCTTTTGTGGAGCTTGCGATCGTTATCACCATGGATTTAACTACAACTGAGACAAAAAGGGCTGTTATAACTTCAAAATTGACATTCAATGCAGTTTACTACCGGACGACTTAGAGCATCCAAGTCATAAGCACCGACTCTTGCTCGACCACAACTATGAAGGCAAATCCAGTTCTTGTCCTACATACATTGTGCGATCGCCTAAACATCCTACATTTGCATATAGAAGTACGAAGCAATGTAACTTCGCCTTGGTTTAAATGTATCAGTCTACCACTAACGGTTTGGTACAAGTATGACAAGCATCCTCTCATCCAAAATTATGAAGATCCCTCAAATTCTAGTCAACTTCATTACGACATTTGTGAGGAAAGAAGAAAACCAAATAAAGTATTCTACTGTTGTCAAGTTTGTGATAACTCTATTCATCTAGAATGTATTCTCTGATACATCCCATCTATCAAGCTTGGAAGCACATACAAAGTCGATTATCACCCACACCCTTTCACTTTTGTTCAGAAAATTTGGAACTGCCCTCGATGTAATGTATGCAATAAGCTTTGCAAAGGAGAGGCGCTTGAATGTAGAGTATCTCAATGCAACATTATCATCCTCTGGGATTGTCGTTTGTACTTAAGAAAACATAAGAAATGACACTAAGCTCTACGGTGATTGTACAAAGAAGTGACAACCTCACCGTCATAGGTCAGCTTATCTGCGAGTACCAAATTTGTTTACTATAGCTCTTTGTTTTTCTTTATATACTTGCTTTTGGGTCTGGCTCTTATTGGTTGAGCTCTTTAGATTTTTTTTTTTTTGGTAAATCAATGACTTGAAACCTTGATTAGGAGTCCTTAATTGGTGTATGTTCTCTTCTTCTTCTTGTTTTTCTAGATTGGTAATAATTATTGTTGAATGGTATGTGTTTTGAGCCGTTAACAAGAAAGCTCTGGGCTTATTTGAAATATTATCATTACAGAGAGTTGTCATGTCTCACTAGTATACAAGCCATAGTTTTTCTTGTAATGTCGCACCGGATGTAGAATATTTCTAGTGGCAAAGTGAACGGCAAGAGGACAATGATGGAGACGTCCGATCGTACTGATGGTTTTCTTCCAGGTTTCAGCTGATTTTTGCACCTCATTCTCAACTATCAACGAGAAGTTCAAAAAAAAAAAAAGAAAAGACAACAAAATTAGCACTTTTAGACAATAGATGGCAGTGATATTTACTTGAAATTGTTTAAGATGATATAATGCAGAAGAAAATCAGAGTTACGGGAAGTTTTTGAGAACTCCTAAAGTGTTTTTGTAGTACCAAGGAACAAATTTGATGACCTTAAAATATTGAAACCTTGATGACGAACTAAATGTCAAGAGCCTACTCATCAAAAAGAATAATAGTTATTATAATAATGTAAAAAGCCTAATTAGAAATGGATGTTGAGCGCTTTAATTTATTATGATACCAAGACCAAGTTTTGTCAAACTTTCAATTGAGGTGGTCTCATCCTCTGTTTCCGTCGTTTAACAAGGAATTGCCCGTATCGCCTTGCAGGCTGTTAACATCAGTTGTGAGGACAATTGGACTCAATTAGAGGATTTTGGCTTCAATCTGAAGTGAGACTCTCCCTTTAAACATGAAGACTGCCTAGTGAGCTTCAATACTTTTCCCTAATCTTAGGTCCAAGGATCACAATCCCATGGCCAATTCACCTCCAAGCATGTGATACTTAAAGAAATGACATTAAAATCACATTAAACCCCTAAAAAGGAAGATCATCATCTGCTGCTCTAAGCTTATAAAACCACATTAGAAGATTGAGGGGAACTCAGAGAAGGAGGAAACTGCGGATACTGAATTTGACAGTTACAAATAAAAAATAGAGACTACGAAAGCCCAAAAAACCCTCACCCAAATCACTTCCACTAGATAGTATTGCACAGCTACCATGTTAAACAAGGCTCTCACGGATACAAGACTACAAAATATCTCAGGCTATCAAATACTAGGAAAGAACTAGTAGCCCTCACACTGCTGACTTTCGCAATTCAGCAATACCATGTGCAAAGTGACATCTTTCCCCAAAAGTGCAACTTCCCTTTGCAAAATTGTCACATAACTTTGTCTTGTAGTTGCTTCCCGGATGCCCTGGACCACCAGGCACACCATGCGTTTTGGCAGGACCTGGGACTGGACCAAGGCTACTAATTAGCTCTCTAACCATTGCACTGGCTTGTTTAATTTGCTCAAATGATCCTTCAAGCTCAATGTTCCTAAGGGTGGGATCTGACTCATGCTCCCGAATAGAAAGTTTTGCTCCTGTTCGACGACAAATCTGCTTGGAGTGCACACCACCCTTCCCAATTATGGCTCCTGCAAGGGAGGCATCCACACTAATTTTTGCAGTGGCTGAGGCACCAAAGCTAGCGGCAGGACCCGATGGGGGTGGAGGCTCCATCCGGCTGCCCATACGACCAGCAATAGTTGCCATGCCACGAGGATCATCATGAGAAGGAGCAATAGGCTTGCCAAGTTCCCAGTCACCATGTGCAAAATGGCATTTGTCACCAAACTTGCAACCTTCAGCACTACTAAATTTGTTACACAATCGAGTTTTAACAGCAGAGGATCCATTTGGGATGGGTGGTGGTGCTGCCATGTTTCTAGAAGCTGGTGGAACAGCTGGTGCAAGGTTCATTATCTGGGCCACAGCATTGTAACCACCAGGAACATAGTGCAGGAAGTGGCAGCTCTCACCAAATGGGCAACCAGCAGTGCTGCAATTAAACACATGAGATATGATCAGATAAAGCTAACACGAATCCATGAGTTCATCTGCATATAAAATCTATCAGATGTACATGAAATATATGCTTCACTGGCATCAGATGTTGTATAGCTGAAAGCAAGCCATTAGAAAAATCCAGATTTTTCAATAAACCAGAAACCTAGCTAAAGTGAGCACAGAGCACATATCTCAACTTAAAAGCGTAGGATGCAGAGAACATGAGAAGAGTAGTTACTTGTCATTTTAACTTTGAGTTTAGTGCCAGTACACCACAAACAATAGAAAGTTGATATTAATGGTTAAGTGTATGACTAAAGCTTCTTTCTAGATGGGCTTCCGGCGCTATTATATATTTATGTGCATAAGCAAAATATCTTTATCCAAAACAGAAAATATAAATATAAATATATATATCAACGTTGCAAAGTTATTGATACTGATATCAATATCACTTATTGAGAAAAATACCCTCTGCCCCTTGCTATGCTGCATTTCAGTACTGGGAAGTATAGAACTTATAAAAAGTTGAGTTCCAATCACAAAATTTTAACATGAACACATCATACCTGAACTGCATCATACTTTAATCATTTCAATTATAACACGAGTAACTTACCAATGGATTCAACAACCGTACCAATTCCGAAAAATTTACCATTAGTTCTACCTTAGGTACTCTAAGTTATAAAAATGATAGATCTTGATATAATTTGCCTCTTTATCACCAACTAACTCCAGCAAAATTGTTATAAATGAAGCCAATATCTGTTATTCTTTAACTTGATCATGATCAAACAAGAGTAATGTACCTGTAAATAATAACTCAATACCCAATTTCATTAGCACAATGGCGCATTTTTAACTATTAACAAATTGTAAATTTAAAATTTTTACAATATAAGCATTAGAGTAAAAAGATAAAAGCAAAATTAAGTATAACTTAAATTGGAAATACTACTAATATTTGTTTAGGTGGGTAAAAGAATTTTAACCTGAAAAACTTGGTGCATGGCTTCGATTTGCTTCCTACACCAGTTGATTCCATTTCTGTTGCAAAACATTAATTAATTACTTATTTTTCTCAGTTACAAATTCTTTCTATATTGTTTAACCAAATTACCCCCCATAAATTCCCCGTAATTAAATTCTTCATATGGCCGCAAATCTCATTACTAATAATTAAATAAATAATCATTTACTAATTTTTCGCATTTATCCAAGCTCGTAAATATTAACAAGAACAAAAAGAAAACTCTTTTACAAAGAAAAAAGAAAAAGGGCAGCAAACCTGGCTTAGTTTTCTTGAAGCCACCGTTACCGTTGAAGCCAGCTTCAGACCTTCCTCTTTTACGAGTATCCATCGATTTACTTTCTACGCAACTTACAGATCCAGATCCAAGAAAACAAAAAACAAAGGAACGACTACAATAAATTTCAAATTATCTGGATAATAAACGAATATTAAGAATTACAGGTGTCCTAAAAACCATAGCAAGAGAAAGACAAAAATCCTAGAGAGAGAAAAACCCTAACCCTAGCCTTGGAGGGGTTTTGGGGAGGATGAGGAAGAGCGAGCTAAAAGCGAGAGCCGAAGAGAGTGGTAAAAGGTTGAATGAAGGGGATATAGATTTATTTTATCGAAATAAGTATATATATATATATATATTAATAATTGGGGGGATTTTAGAATTAGGGTTTAAATGCAGTTAATTGTTACGGCTGGATTCCGCGAGTTGGCCGTCCTTTTAACTGAAAAATGGCGTCCGTGTTGTCACGCTGCTGTCACGTGCGCTTTCATTATAGGGCTTGATTTTGTTTAGACGTCACAGAGAATTTTGCAATTTTTGGTTCTTTTGGGCTTTAATTAGAAGCCCAATTTTCTTGGGTCTAAATGAGGCCCACTGTTTGTCCAATCCCCGCCCATTGTTTGGACAAATAATTGCAAATAAAAAATAAAAAGTAAATTTCATTCCACCTTTTACATTTGGATAATTCATAAAATTAGAAAATAAACGAAATCATACAAATAATTTGAGGTTTATGACTGTAATACAAATAAATTGTAACATAGAAGAGGTGTCAGTGGTGTTTTTATTATTAAATTATCGCACGAGATAATTAAAAAAATTGATAATTTACGTAAATTTCATTGGTTTGTATTATTCAGCCCAACAATAAAAAGTTTACATCCATTATTAAACCATTTTTTCATGGCATCAAGTAAAAGAAAAAGCATTTTAAAAACAAGGTTGCACGTTAACTTCAAGTCAGTCTAATTATATGATGAAAATGCTGCTAAGATAAATTTCTCTCACCACTTGAACATATATAAATGAAGTATGTTGCATGATCTAGTGTGAGTTCTTGAAATTCTTGCCTTACTCTTTTCTTAACCCTATATAATTTTGTTTTTGAATTAATTGTCAAATTATAGTTCTCATTCAATTAGCATCGAATTCAATTATACAACATATTTGGTTTAACATACAACTTAGAATCAAGCTTTTTAACTATTCAAGCACTTAATACTACTATATGATTATTGCTGACTCTTGTACAAGTGTATTCATCCTCACATATCTTAATCTTAATTTTTTTTTAATTAGTTCTATTAGCTTGTAGCCAATTTAATCGAGGGATGGAAAAAAAACTCTATTAAGTGTTTTTGTGTTGAAATGGAAAGTCCTATTGTGACAATTTGAGATTTAAGAATGAAGAAGACTCTTCATAAAATAGATTAGAGACAGTAGCTATAAGCTGCTCCTATTTATAATGTTGTATGCGATATTAATTGGTTTTGATATTGATTTTCTAGGGTGCCAAACAAATTCCAAAGAATTTCTAAACCTAAGAGGACTCACGCATGGGGAAGTGACAACGTGAGTACCATGAGCCAGCTAACGCCACCCAGGGTCAACTGTGCAAAGGGGCAAATCAGTCATTCCGTACGGCGCCAAAGGGGGCAGCACGCTCAAAGCTCTCCTCGACATTTCCAAAGCTCCCCTCCCAACTGTTCGAAACCAAAACTTCATCAAACCACTTCGATTTCATCGAAACCCCAGACAACAGACACAAACCACATTTATATACACAACTACTTCTTACATTCTCAGACCCAAAACTTCTCTCCATCCTAGCCACCCTCCTTTCTTTCTAACTGCGTTCTCTGTATCACTTTGGTGAGTTTTCGGATCTTTCAATGTTATACTCATCTTCTGTTTTCTTGGGTCTCATTATTTCGTATTTCGTAATCACCTTCAAATGTAGTTTAATATTGAAACTTTAATAATGGGTTCATTCCATGTTTTGTATATTTCAATTCTTTTCCATGTGTGTGTGTTTTGGAAGTTTTGAACTTGATTCTGTTTTATTTACATGTTATTTTGCCATTCAGAGACACTAATATGAGGAATCTTCTGTTTCTTATTTGATTGATGAGAAATCTGAAGAAAATAAGTAATGATGTGTTACATACATGTCAGACCATTGCAGCTTACAATGGACAAAACTGTTTCTAGAAGTAGAAACCATAATATGGGAAACCAAACCGAGCTACTATAGAATTTACATTTTAAAGAGACTATACTTGTGATTTATCCATTGCAAGCTAATAAGGATTGGGTGTTTGAGACACCACTATAGATTTTTGAGAGGAGATTTTGACTCAACTTGGTGATCTGTTTACTTCCAAATGTTTGAAGAGGGGATGCAGGCGTTTTTTATTCTATTAAGTTAACATCCTTGCTGATGATGCCACTTGAAAGTTTTGTCTTTCTATGAAAAATATTGTTTGCGTTTCTGTTGACTATTTAAATGTCCCTCTCCATCATGCAGAGTTGTGTTAAAAAAAGAAAAAGTAAAAAGATGGGAACGGCTGCAGCTCCTGGCACATACATTGCAACTATTAAGCCTTGTATTTCTTCTTCTCATAAAATGCATGTCTCAAGCACGGTGAACATCAGTACTGAGCATAAAGAGGCATTTTGGAGAAGGCTTGCAAGCTCCTCTCACATCTCATTAAGGCAGCCATTCCTCCGGAGGATCACTCCAGGACCTTTGAAATTTGAAAAGTTTGTTACAAGAGCAATTTCTGAGACAAATGACAACAAGCCTTTGCCAGGACTGCCTATTGATTTGAGAGGTCATCCATCCCTTAGCCAGCCCCCCCTCCCCCTTTTCCAAAGCCTAATTTTAATGTGTTTCATCTTCTTAATAGATTTTATCTGTCCCATCAATGATAGTTTATCTTCACTCCCTTCACTGTTTATGTGCCTTTTATGCTTGGAAAAATAGGACAATTCTAAGTATTAATTCAAGGGCTATATGTATGGTTTTTTGGTACAAAAAAGCCTACTTTTGTTGATCCTGGATTCAATCATGAAACAACATTGAACACAGATAGATTTCATGATCAATTGTATCTTCAACATGTGCTCATGTTTGTTATTCCTGAAAAAGATTTTTGCCTCAATATGTCATGTCCTGACTCAAAAGCACGTAAGGCATGAAACTCATCTCTGAGGTATGAACATAACCCCTTGAACATCTAACACGAGTCATCTGTTAACAGGTAAAAGGGCATTTATAGCTGGTGTGGCTGATGACAATGGATATGGTTGGGCAATAGCAAAATCTCTTGCTGCTGCTGGAGCTGAAATTATTGTTGGAACATGGGTACCTGTATGTATCTTGATCTAACTTATTTGTCATTTAGAAACAGAGATTCTCATCTAATGTCAAAGTTGTATTGTTTCTTACAATTGCTTATTTTTGTACAGGCACTCAACATATTTGAGAGCAGTCTAAGACGTGGGAAATTTGATGAATCACGCGTGTATGAAAAAATATGGCCTTTCCTGATTTTTTTTTTCCTGATTGATTGCATAGATTTGATATTTGCTGAACTCTCCCTTACCCTATGCTAATTGGAATTTATTTTTTCCAGATTGCCAGATGGTTCATTAATGGAGATCACAAAAGTTTATCCCATGGATGCTGTTTTTGACTGTCCTGAGGATGTTCCTGAAGATGTAAGCTTTTTCTCCATGTAGTTTCTAGAACAAGGCAAATATCAATTTGTGAAATGCTAATTTTTGGTTACATGCAGGTAAAAACTAATAAACGCTATGCTGGGTCTTCAAATTGGACGGTTCAGGTAAAACAGTGTTCAGTCAAAATCAACCTCATAATATGTAACTTCGAAGTTGCCTTTGCATCTCATAAGACAGATAAATTATTTTCTTGATTAAATTTAGGTACATATTGTCAGTGTTTCAGTGCCAATGAGTTGTTGCAAAATCCATTTCAGCTGCATGGATACTTAACTTTTAATAATCAACCAAGCAGCAAAAATACCTTTTGCATGGTTTAATGAACTGCATTGTTCTTTCCTATAGAATTAGAGCCATCAATGGTTAGATTTATGCTGCTTTTCGTTTTCCTCATGTAATGCTATATTTGCCAGAAAAAAGTTGAAATTTTGTGTTCATTTACTTAAATTAAATATGTGGATCATTCATGTATTACTTTAACTAATTAGGTGTCAAAATCATTTGGTTTTCACAAAACAGTATCCTTCTTGGCCATGATCATACCCAATCTGAATTTTTTCTATTTGGTTGGTTTCTCAAGCTGCAAATTTGTAATTCCAGATACTATTCCAGATACTGTAATCTTTGAAATGTATCAAGTTTATGATGGTTCTCCAGTTCAGTGATTAAGATGCCTTTTTCTTTGAAGTTCATATGGTTAAGGAATGGTACCACAGCTTACAACATTGTGTTAATGTCTCACAGGAGGTTGTTGAATGTGTGAAAAAGGATTTTGGCAGTATTGACATCCTTGTTCACTCACTTGCAAATGGACCAGAGGTATGGTGTTTATTACTTTAATACTTCAGAGCTGTTTTTCAAATATCTTCATGGTGGTTATCTATTTTTAACATACATCTGCAGGTAAGCAAACCACTTTTAGAGACCTCAAGAAATGGATATCTTGCTGCCCTCTCTGCATCAAGTTACTCCTTTGTTTCTCTACTCAAAAACTTTCTTCCAATAATGAATCCAGGCATATTTCTCATCCAATCTCACGCTATTTTTCTCCCTTAACAATCCATGGAAGTGAAGATCCAATTGTTGCTTGAATTTATGCTTGTCTATTGGTGCTGCAGGAGGTGCTTCAATTTCTCTAACATACATTGCTTCTGAAAGAATAATCCCTGGGTACATTGCCATTTACGTTTTTCCTATTTAAGTTTTCTCTCTTAGATATTTTGTTTACATCTTTTCATGTCATTCTATGGGCAGATACGGTGGAGGCATGAGTTCAGCAAAAGCTGCTTTGGAGAGTGATACACGTGTGAGTTTTTCTTTCTTTCTTCTTTTTGTATATTCTCTGGGGCTTGCTTTCGGTTTCTATCTCTCTTGCTTACCCTATTCTAGCTCTCTTTCTGTTCTGTCCTATATTTATCATGATTCTATACTATTGATAACTTAATGTTTGCTTGATGCAGGTGCTGGCTTTTGAAGCTGGAAGAAAACACAAAGTCAGAGTCAACACAATATCTGCAGGTCTAACAGTAACTTGTTAATAAGAATAATATCCCTGCACCCACCCACCCACCCACCCACCCATATGCACATGCGCATGCACACACGCGTGCCCACACACACACACAAAAAACGATAAATTTTGTCTTAGTAAAAGACCTTTGAGCTTATGCCAGAGATATTTATTTCCCATTATTTCCCCTGCCGTGTAAGAGCACACGCATGGGAGGAACTATGAAAAGAACCATGGAGGGACTAAGTTATAAAAAAAATTCAAATTTTAGCAAAATAAGGAGGAAATGTATATATTTTCAAATTTGGAGGATAAAAGTGCAGTTTTAGGTAAATCGATGGTCAAATTTACCCATCAAGATGACAATTTTACAGCATCATGTCCTGTTGTGCCCTATGGCTTGAATGTGCTTTGTCCATGCTAAGGGCTATGTCCTATTCATCTGAAAAGTCTAATCACTGGGATGAGGCGTAGGGCTATCGCTTTAAGCCTGTAACTACCACCAAAATTACCCATGAAGATGATGGTCTTATACCTTCATTGACTACTAGTGTCCTAGTGCTGGAATGTGCTCAGTCATGCTCATGCTCTGAACAGTTCTATTTGTTTGAAAAGTCTATTGCTGGCATGGGGCTTTCTTGAAAATCTTGTGCCTTTGGATTGCACAATTAAGAATAGTCCCATTCTTTTCATACAGGTAATACTTGATTGAGCCTCCCATTGTCTTGTTAGAATTTTTTTTTGCTTTTGCGCCTCTAATTCCTAGTAATAATTCTAGGAAAGCATGCATATGTTCTATAGAACCGCATTAATCTGAAACTACAGAAAATGCATTCCTTATGAAAGTTTGAAGTTACTTTTAGAATGTGCATTAAAGTATATGCAATTTCAATTATGTGCTATCATTCCTTGTGATTTGCTCTGTGTAGAGGAACACTGAGCTGCATCTTAGTTAAGAATCTTAATGCTGTATCTATCAATTTCCTCACATTGTTGTGCTATTTGAGAATATCTCAGGCCCTTTGAGGAGTCGAGCTGCTAAAGCAATTGGATTTATTGATATGATGATTGATTACTCGCTGGCTAATGCACCCCTACAGAAAGAACTATCAGCAGGTGCGTCACAAACTATAACTTATTCTGCATTTTGTGGCAGTAAAACGGAATAATTGCCATTCAACTTACTCTCAGACAAGAAATTGCCATTAATTATAAGTGGAGTTTAAAACACACATTTTATATAGATCAAGATTAGAAAGTGTAATAATTAAAGCACAACCACAAGCTTAAATGTTATGCCTTGCTGTCTATATATCTTTGTATATTTATTAAGTCTGAATTATAACTGGACAGAGGAGGTGGGAAATGCTGCCGCCTTCCTTGCATCCCCGATGTCTTCAGCCATCACTGGAGCTGTTGTGTATGTTGACAATGGTCTAAATGCAATGGCAGTTGGAGTTGACAGTCCGGTATTCGCGGACCTTGACATTCCAAAAGATAACTGAAGTAGAGATTTAAGATGAGGAAATGTTCCGCGGATGGTCGGGAGATTTTTCGTTCAGCAGAAATAAATGTTCCTTGTGCCTAATCAATATACTGATATCACATTGTGGATGAGAAAGAAAGCATGTTTGGCGTCTCCCCTTTCAGTGATAGGGTAGTTACATCTTTAGTTCAATTTCAGTTTTCTTTTCAACATCATATGCAACGGGTTGAACTCTTCTCTCTAGTTTTTTCTTAAAGACAAGTGCTGAAATTCCATACCGCATTGGATTCTTAACGTCTCTAATTTTATACGCCCTACAATCCCTAGCGTTTCTTTGTATCATGAATTTCAATCAATCAAAATAAACAATATTTAACAAATTAATATAAAAAATATAAGTATATCAAAATTATCAACATCGATGATGAACGACAGAAACAGATTCATAAAACCTTCCTTACTATTCCTCTTCAAAAGATCAAGGTTATTAATGTCACCAACATCGATGATGAATGACAATAACAAGTTCAATAGAAAGTTCTTTATTATTCATCTTCAAAGGGCCAAGGTTATTAATGTTACGCAATTTGAGATCGCCACAACTTACTAAACCAACCATGCCTCCTATACTACCAAAGAGATGACAAGAAAAAGACCACGAAAAATTATGGAATGCCTAACCACTTATAAACGATCAACCAATGAAACAAAGGCTATGCTGTACGTTACTAAACAGTTATAATTTATGTACAAAACACCCCAAAAAAATTTCCCTGACAAAATGCTGTACAAGTCTCTGCATTCACCTTGAAAATTCAGCTAATGGCAACACGTCTTTGTTCTGTGTCAATACTCTCAGGTGAATCTTCCACCATTTACTGTTCCTGTAAAACCAAGCCACGGTTTCCGGACAGCTTTCTAATTGGTGTTGTAGGTTCTGTTGCTTCAAATTGTCCATTGTATGTATCTGAGTGAAATTTGCTTGATACATCAACTTGATCCCTATTGGGCATCAGCTCCTGCCCATCCTCAACATAATTTGTCATCAGCTGTGAAATGCAAAAATAAACACATTCAGGCAAATGGAAGAATAAGATTTTGTAGAGCACAATTTAAGCAATCAAGTTAGAAAAAAGAAGAGAAAATGGTATCTTGTCTATGTCAAACTACAAATTCTACAAATACAAACAATTCTCTCAAGTTTGAAACAGTGAAGACTGAAGACAAAAGGTAAAGACCCAAACCAGCGGCCCTATGATAGACAGCAGACCACTCTTCTGCATAAAGACGATAGTTGTATGAAACCATTTTAATGATGAAACTATTTAATTGTAAATCTCAAAAAAGAATTTCCAAAATTGAAGATATAGAAATGAAAACTCATATATCACATTTAAGTTAATAATTTTTTTTCCCAAGTACCTTCCAATCATTAAAGTCAAATCTGAAGACAAAGTGGCTGTAAACAACCTCTCTTGACGCAACTGCCCTAGCAGCAGGAGCATTCCTTGGTGCTGAAAAAGAAAATACAAGAAAAAACAGAACGTTAGATTTAAAAATGAAAATGGACACAAGCTTGGAAAGGGGACATAAGCATGACATTCAGAAGTATCTTACAGACTAGATGAAAGCCCTTCTCATCCACTTTTATCTCAGCACGCCCATCTTTAACCAGAAATGAGAGGGTAAATAGATTTTCCACTGTTTGTGCAAAAGAACTCCTATTCAATACCAAATGTTCAAGCCTCACTCTTCTATGCTTCCGCAGAATGTCAAACATGGTTGACATATTACTATCGGTATCTGTCCTCTTCTGCGTACCAATATCATCAACCTGCACAAATTTGACAAAGACAGACCCAGATGAGGTAGGTGCAAAATGTTGAATCAGTATATATTACACGAGATACCAAATTCCGCCAATATTCAATATAATTTCTATTCCCTAATGTGAATGGACAACAATGTGAAGATAATTTCATTAAAACGTAAATTTAATCGCACCAATCATCCACATTCTAACAGGACAAATCATCTCCAGATAACACAACTTCTACAGTGATTCTCGTTATAAACAATGATTGCAGCTCTTACCTCTGCAGGATGCACATTTTCTGTAGGTCTCACCCGTTTTCTGCAAACACTGGCTCTCCGTTGCTTTAGTTGTGTATTCATAGGCCCAATCCTGAAGGCGTAAAAAAATAAATACAAAACTATGTAAAATATAAGTATAGAATTAGAATCAAGCGCTATTACATGGTACGACATCCAGGACTGCTCCTAAAAACATGTGAGACTTCAATCCCGATCTTCTTGTAATCTATTAAGGTTCTGCCACCCTGTCTACTGCTACCACTACTACCTTGTCCGCTTTGTTTCGCAAAGTCTCTAAGAAGACTGTTAACAAAATCGACAACAGTAATCCCGTTACCATTTGTTGCTTTCACAGAGGTAACCAAGCTGTTGGTAATGTCCAAAAGTGCCTCGGCGTCAGCAATCTGTTCTCTTGGTTTCTGCACTGAAATTCACAGGACGGACCCCAAAAGAAAAAAATAAAAAGTCCAGTAACTCCAAGTGGATGAATTAAAAAAAAAAACTGAAAACATTTGACATAGAGGAGAAAATATTATTCACACACAATACCATGTAGATGTAAGCTCTCTACTTCATTAAAAATTGAGTTGAATTTGACAGAGTCAGCCCTACACATATCATCCCTTTCGTCTGCAAAAAGAGTTTACAGAAAATCGTCCACCGATATTATAGAACAGAATTTTATATCATAATATATATATATAATGTAAGTTCTTTTATATAAATAATTGTATTCTGATAAGTTTTTTTTAATATATATAATTATTAGTTTCAGAATTTATATTACAAGTTCATAACGTATTCTCTGTCATTTACTTATAAGGCCCAAAAAGAAAGCAGCAAAAAATACAGCCAAATGAAGCCTAATAGAAGAACTTCATTGATCTCCCACTCATTTTCTCCCGAACCAAACAGAAAATAAAACTATAAAAGAGACAAAAAAAATGAAAAGAAATAAGCGAAATTACCGAAAATAAGATTCTTAACAGCGAGATAACGAGAGCGAAGAGTTCTGCGATTACTAACATGCTGATGATCGAAATCGTTAGCGTCAGTTTCTCTACTATTGCTACGTTTTATGATTCGAGTCATGGCTTTTTCACTTTTTCAATGATTTTCTCGAGAAAACAAAAAGGACATGAAAACGAAATCAAGGGGGAGCTTTAATAAAAGGACACAAAAAACCCTAGAATTATAAAAGGGTAGACAGGCTTTGATTGCGTGCGTGAGAAGCTAAAGGAAACACCGCGAGAACGAGAAGCTAGAAATTGGAAGAGTCGTTTTCCCTTTTTACCCCCACTCTCTCTCTCCCGCTCTTTAATGATGAGTTGCGTGGTTGATGAATTACTTTGCATGGGCGATTAGGATTTTCACGCAGTTTCCTGTGGAAAATAAATTGCAAGTGATTGGAATTTTTTTTTTTTTACGAAAATTTGAATTTTAAATTAATGTCAAATGTTGTTTACACTAATAATTTGGAAGGAATAATAATTTTTAAAATGATCATTCATGGAGAGGAGGGAATAGTCAATATTAAGAATTTCTTGATATTGCTTATTCCAAGAGATAAAGAATAAAGTAAAAAAATTAATGAATAAAAAGATTTTTCATTAATTTTAAGAATTGTTATATTATATAAAAAACAATTTATTTAATTTTCAAAAATTTCTTTCTCTATACCCAATTGCTTTCCTCTTACTAAAATAAAATGAATTTAAAATTAAAATAAATTTAAAATAAAAAAGTTTAAGCTTTAATTATAAATTATAAAAATGTAATATTTTAAACTTAAAAATTAAATTAAAATTTTAAACTATAAATTTTTATATTTTAATATTTTAAAAATAAATAATAAAATAAATAATTTAATTATAAAGTATTAATATTTTGAATGAGATATAAATTATTAATATTTTATAAATTAAAATAAATAATCATATTAACATTTAAATAATAATTAATTAATATTTATAATTAATTATTAAACTAATAAATATTTTGATTTTAAAATTAACTATTGTAATAAATAGTACTTTTAAAGGGAAAAAATAGTACTTTTGTCATTTATCATTTATTTTTTAATTATTTTTAAAATTATTCTGAGCAATCAAATATTAGAATAATTTATAATAACAATTCTGGTTCGATTTTATTTTTATGATATAATAGTTATTTATCTCTTATTCTATTCATACGGAGTGGTTAATCTATTCTCACTTTACTTTTTCTTACAAATCAAATACACTGTAAGTAGGTTCAAGTAAAATCTAGTTAATGGCACGTTTGGTATACAGAATGAAATAAAATAATTATTTTGTGAAAATAATATAAAAATAAATAAAATAAAAAAATTAATATGTAGTTTTATTCATGAAATGGAATAAGGTTGGAATTACTATTATGATTTATTCTAATATTTAATTAGTGAAAATAACTTTAGAATAATTAAAGAATAAATGATAAAATTATAAAACTAAACCTTATTATAATAAAATTATTTTCATCAAAAACACAAATAAATTCTATTTTCATTAAACATCGATAATTTATTATTAAATTATTAATATAAATTATTAATATTTTTAAGTTATTATTAAATTATTGAATAATTTATTATTAAATTAGTTATATATATTTAATTTTAATTATTTGGATTATTTTTCTCTATTTGTATTTTTCATTTCTTAATCTTTTAATTTATATTTTCATTAAACATCAATAATTTATTATTAAATTATTAAGTAAGTTATATTAAATTAGTTATATAATTTTTTATTCTAATATTTGAATAATTTTTCTCCATTTGTATTTTTTATTTTTAATATTTAATTTTTATTTTTATTAAACATCAATAATTTATTAATCAATATAATTTATTTTTATTTTTTTTTATTTTTTCTTTATTGTTTTTTCTTTTTCCTCCTTTTCTTCTTTTCTTTCCTTTTCTCGTTTGTCATCATCGATTGCTTTAATGGCTGGTTGAAAAATGTAGTTATTATATATCATGTTAAAAATTTAGTTATTATATGTCACATTGAAAAATGTAATTATTATACGTTGTTACATGTCATGTTGAATATTTAATTGTTTACATATTATGTTAAAACATGTAATTATTATACGTCATGTTGAAGATTTAGTTGTTATACGTTATATTAAAAAATTTAGTTTTTACACGTCATAATGAAAAAATTATTACACAACACGTTATAATTTGAACTGTTTTAATTTGACAAAAAAGATTTTTTGACAAAACTATCATTTTGTATCTTAGCTTTCTAAGTATGCGTCCATGTCGTGTATGTATCTAACAAATGTCAAATACCTCTCACCTTAACTTTTAATTATAAGAAACCGAAAATGTTTAAAATTTAAATTTTACAATTGAAACATTTGATACTAAATTGATAAAAACTTAAAAATTTTGATCTCAAATTGAGCATTTAGTCGTTAAGAAAGCCATATCATTTAAAATGGGTGGCAAAAGATGCCAATTGATTATGAGTGAACAATTGTTAAAGTCATGTGTGCCACATGATATTTTTTCGGACAATGTAAAAGTTTATATAGGTAAAACTCATAGAATATGGACTTATCTCTTATGTGTATAATAAAAAAAATGTGCTAATATGAGATAGCTTAGGAACTTATTTAATACTTTAGCTTATGTTAACTATAAGTAATATAAGTCATTTATCACAAAAATAATAAAAAACTAAAATTTAATATTAAAAATCATTATTTATAATCCAATAACAAGTACCCAAACACCACTACTCAAACTTTACTTGAAGATGAGTTATACTTTTAATATTTAAACTCAAATCAAATTCAATTATAAAATACCTTAATTCTATTTAATCAAGTAGGATAGTACACGAAACCATCTCTATAATATACTTGTAAATTCTTTTAAAAAAATATAAAAGGTGTGTGTAAATATAGCCATTTTTATCACAAAGATGGCATTGGCATCGCCTTTTGGGTTTCTTTTAACAATTATCTTCCTATTTATGAATGCATTTGAAAAATTGGCAAAGTGAGAGCTATCACCAGAAAGCCCAGCAATGTTCACAGACAATCCGCTGCAAAATTATGGGTGGATTAACTTTATACAAATTTAAATACTGATTTTATAAACGACAGATGAAAATAATTGCCATTTGAAAACGATTTTTAATTTTTTGAAATTTGAAATTCAAAAATACCCACACTTCTAAACAAAGTTTGCGACAATACTCCAAGGCCTGGCGCCTTTGCCTTGTTTATTCATCGTTTCATCTATCATTGTGTTTGGATGGTAGCCGTAGATCCACATTCACCATTGCTCCCACTAATTCCCCTTTCTATTCCCCATAATTACGCCCCCAACCTTAATTCCCTATTCGTTACTCTTTTCGTTATTTTCTTAAAACGTAATGGCAAAATTGACGAACCCTCCTACGTTTTAACCCCACCATAGCCGAACACTCTGAAACCCCTCCCGATCCAGCCACTATTTGGCAGAATTTCCGCTAAATAAAAATTTCCAAAAGCCAAATAAGAAATTCCTGTAAATTCAAAAAGCTCTACACTCTGATCTTCAGTGCCCGAAAAGATTTTCTGTTTTTATTTTTAATTTCAAATTAGGGTTTGAGGTAAAAAAAATGAAAGCGTCATTGAAATTTCGTGAAGAGAAAAGGCCAGTGGTGAGAGCGAAAGTACCTCTAAGTATTTTGGGATTGCCGTTTCAATCGGGAATCGTCGCCGGCGAATCGAAGGAGCTCACTTTAAATCTTTCTACGTTCTTCGAATCTGGACCGTCTATCAAAATCGCCTATCGTCCTAATGACACGTGGAACCCTTTCTCTCTCATCGTTAAAACTGGAACCGGACCGTTCGGCTCTCCGATTTCCAGCTCTATGCTTATGAGTGCTGAGTTTAATCTCCTTGGCCGTGGAAACCCTAGCTTTATGCTTCACTTCAAGCCTCAGTTTGGGGATTTCTCAATCAAGAAGTCGCAGTCTTCAGTTTTTGATAGAGCCGTGAAGCCAAGGAGTGGCACCGTTTTGGAGGACGATTCGTCGACTGAGGTTGTGGATACGCCGGCTGTTAACGGCGGGGCCGGCGGGTTCTTTGCGGAGAAGAGGAAATTGGAGGCTCCGAATTGGGGACATATCGCCGGGATTCTGTCTGGAATGGAGGTGGCGGCGAAGACGGCGGTGCCAGTTAAGGGAAAGGCGCTGGTGAAATTCCGGTGGGGAATGAGGATTCCGTCAGAGATGAAGAGTGGCGTTGGCCGATTCGGTGATCCAACGGCTGGGATTTCGTTTGGCAAGATTCCGTTTTTGGTGATGGATAAGATCGGAATCGAACACGTGGACAGTGTTGAGTCGAAGCAGGCTATATCGACTGACAGCAAGGCCGGTTCAGAGCCGGGCTCCAATGCTGACCTGGCGACAGCATGTTATACGGTTAAGCGACAGTTGGAAGCTTTGCAAGCTGAGAATGGGTTACTGAAGAGAGCCGTGGAGGATCTCAGGAGAGAAATCTCCGGCGGGAAATTCGGGGATTTGAATTCTGGGAAATATCCCGTAATGGAAAGAAATGGGGTTAGTAGATCGAAAATGGAGAGTAGAAACAACGAGAAGAAATTGACGGAAGGGGATGTAAATGAGGAGTTGAAGAAGGCATTGAAGGGAGCTACAGGTGCTTGAAGTTGTCGAAATATAATGTAAGCTTTGGTTAGTGTTTTTATTAAGTGTTTATGCTTGGTTTAGTAATTACACTACAATCAATTTTGTGAGTTTTTGTTTAGCATATCTGGAATTTGTTAGTACTGTTTAAATTAGTGGGTTTGGTTAGTGAATATTTCATTTGTAAATTTCTTAATCGATAAGTTTATTTGGCTCCAGCCTCTTTGCCAAAGAGTGGAAGTAAGACTATCCTAGTGAATCTGCTTGCTGCCTTTTTTCTGAGTAGAACATGAAAACAGTCTTAAGCTATGTTGTCACATCTTTTCAAAGTAGCCTAGGAAAGATGGTATTCCTTTTCGTTTTAATTTTAGTTTCCATAAAGCAGTGCTAAAATAATACTAATAAGAATGGAGTAGGTTGAGGTTTTAATAGTAAATTTAAATGCTGATAATCATAATGCTATTTCTTGTTTCTTGTACTAGAAACACACACAGGCACATCTCGTTGAGGGGAAGAGTTATAATTGTTCTATAACCTTTAATCAGTAGAAGACATGGGAAACAAGCAAGGATAGACAAACAAGGATGGGTAGACACAGAACATATCAGATTACGGCATACATTACAAGGCAATGATCAACATAACACATAACATAGGAAAGCAGTTGGTCCAAGCACCTGTAGAACTCCAGAAATCCATGAACTTGAGCTGCCACTTCATAGATAGCATAATTTAGAACAGAAAAACATATAATAGAAACCAATCCAACTGATCAGAAACATTTTTGCGACTTAAAATAAAATTTCATGAACATAAAAGATATAAAATATGGTTGAGTATGGTTGAACTCAGAATATTGGAGTGGACAGATGAAAAAGGTGCTTTAAGTTGTAATATTTTCAATTTTTTCAAAAGAGTATGAGCATTAACGTTTGGACTAAGAACAGAAAGTAGAGAAGTTCCCCAGAAGTTCAAAAAATATGGTTACAAATGTGAAAGGTGTACGAGGAGATGAAACGCCTTTACGGATTCATCATTTGTAGTTGAAGTCAAGTCGCTGAGATAAATATTAGGGATGTGAGCAATCTTTCTGGTGTGCATCTTTCCCTTAACGTAGACACCCCACGATACTCAATTATTTAAGTGAAGTGAGCTGTTGCATCCCTCCTGGTAGAGATGACAACTTGGGGTAATCTTTAATCCAAAGCTTTTGAATAGATATGAGATGTTGGAGCCACATTGGCAATGTGAAGTGGTTCTCAAGTTCATGTACAAATGACAAATGCTGTAAAGTTTTGGTAGATCCAAGAAGAATCCATTGGTGTAGTGCCTCCATCTTTGGTAAACCCTAGAATAAATAATTTTGGAAGACTACCATCTTCTTTTCCTCCAAATTCCAACTTCATAGAGAGATCAAGCTTTTCACAACCCCAAATCACCACTGTTGGAAGGGCTGTTAGGCTTTGCCTATCTTCAAACAAACATTTCATGTTTTCACATTGTAAAATTGCCAAAAACCAAAGAGAACTCAAGCACCCAATTCCATTCTCTTGCAAAACCATTTGTTTAGTTGTTATCACTAATGTTCTAAGACTAATCATATGCATGCATCCAATTCTTTGAACAGTAATACATGCAGCCAAATGCTGGGGTGTAAATCTTAATTGAAATCAGACTAGTTGTGTGTCTAATATATTCTTCCAGGTCATTCACTTACAAAAATAATTAACCTTGCAATTCTCTTTATTGCTAACTCAATCTTCAATGAATAACTGTCATGAATTAAACAAGAGGTATACATATAGGGCGGGGCGAAAGAAAACATATCCCTTTGGTTACTGACTTGGATTCCCAAGTTGTCTTGTTGTTATTGCTTTGTAAACGATCCTGATCTAGCCTGAATACGAAGCCCTTAGTCGAGAAGTGATGAAGTTAATTATCCGAAAAAAAAAAAAAAACAGGTGATGAAAGTTGACACAAAGAGTTAAAAGAGGATACAAGACCCCACTTTCGTTGTGCTATAATAAGGCTATCATTAACCAACATCTATAGGATATTACTGTTTATATGATTTGGTTAAAGAGGTGATTTACATCTTGTTTCATACACGTACATTTATTACCGCTGAATCAAATGCTCAAATTCAATCTAGTGTAATTACTCAACAGAGGTTATGAACTAGCTCACTCACCCTAGAAATTGGGCTGACTAACAAACCTTATTCTTTTCATTTTCCTATAGCTCATCCTAGCAGTCCAATTACGAGTATTTTCATTTTATTTTCTTGGGTCGGGCCTTTGCATAGATTAGTTCATAGACTTGGGCTGAAATGCAAAGGGCCCAATATTACAATTTCTTTTTATCAAATAAAAGATTTTAGGACATTTCAACTATTTTGAATCACATTAGTAATTAAGTAGTCCTAACATAAATTAAATTGGTCACTGAGGTCCTAACTGTTAGGTACCTAAACCAAGTTAAAGCAGATGGATGTCTCGAAGGGCAACCTCGTCACTGCAATAATAATCAAATAGAATCAAACGTATCCAACATACCATGATTCCAACGGATTGAATAAATACACAAATAAAGATCTTTTCTTACCATATATTAATCAGGAAAAATTTGAATAATTCAGATAAGAATTTGTAAAAAAAAAAAACTAACAGGGCTAAAAAGTAATTTGACAGACAAAAGGAAAAGCAAGTCATCGTTGAACTAGTAAGATCAGTACAAAAAGCCGAGCTGAATTCCCACATAAAACCGCACAAACAACTCGCACACAGAAGAAAATAAGAAAAGAACAGAGATTAAGCCTTACTGCCCTAGCTATTCCTTCTTTATTTTTCTTTGAAATTCCAAAAGAGCATAAACGAATCATAAAAAAGATAAGTTTTTTTTTAAAAAAATCTATTATTCAGAAAAGGGATTATTATTATTATGGAACCGTGACCGTGACCGATACTTTTATTATTATTATTTCTTCTATTTTTTTCATGGCCAAACCCGACAACTTTCCGGAGAAACAAACATGGGGTACATGGGAGGAGCTCTTACTTGCCTGCGCCGTTCACCGTTACGGTACCGAGTGTTGGGACTCCGTTGCTATGGAACTCCAGAAACGTACTTCCACGCTCCAACACCTATTCCTTACTCCGCTCTCTTGTCAGCAGAAGTTTCAAGACCTTAAACGCCGGTTCGCTGAAAACGACGTCGGAGGTGACGATGCTAAAACTACTAATAACATCACCACCGCGGTTCCTTGGCTCGATGAGCTCCGAAAACTCCGCGTTGCTGAACTCCGCCGCGAAGTCCAACAATATGACCTCTCCATCGTGTAAATAATTACAAAAATACCTTTTTAAAAAATTTTAAATTATTTCCTTTTTGGGGCAAAAATCGAGAATTTTTTGGCTTTTTTTACAGGTCGTTGCAATTGAAGGTGCAGAGATTGAAAGAAGAGAGAGAACAGAGCTTGGAAGATAACGGAAAAGAAACTGAAAAAAGGGATCTGGAGAGAGAGGAGGAAAGCGATAAGAAGGAAGAAGAAAACGAGCCGGAAAATCAAATCCAAAAACCGGTTCACGGCGGCGAAGAGTCCGACCGGGAGAATCGTTCGGTTAATGAGTCGAACTCTACAGATCCGAAGGATGAGAGTCCGGGAGCCGGACCGGAGGAGGCGAAGGTTGAACCGGTATCGGTCGAACCGGAAGGTGGTGAAACGGGTAAGGAGGTGGAGAACGAGAAGCCAACGGGAGAGGATTCGTGCAACGGGAGCTGTGATAGCGTGGCGAAAGAATCGGCGGGGAACTCGGAACGAGTTGACCCGGGGACAGAACCTGGTGACTCGCCCGAGTCAGTAGCCGAGTCAAAGGGGGAAGAACCTAATAGAGAGAGCAGCGATGTACAGAGCTCGGCAAGCTTGTCCGGAAAGGAAAAGAAAAGGGCTGAACCGGACGAACCGGACAATGAGGAATTGGACCAATCTCCCGCCATCAAGGTGTCCATTGAATCTCAGCCGTTGGTTGAGTTCCTCGAGATCTTCCGCTCTCATAAGCTCGGCTCCCTCTTCGAGCGCCGACTCGATAGCCAGGTAAAACAAAATATTCTATTTTTTAAAAAAACTCGATTTAATGTATTAAAATCAATTTATAATTACTTTTTTGTATTAAAAAAAAGGGAGATAAGGAGAAGGTTTTTATTGGGTGCTTTGCGGGTCAGTTGTAGTATCACTATCAGTAGTCTTGGCCCAATCTGGCGGTGACGTGTCAGCACGATTAGGTTTGGTGACTGTTATGATAAATAGTTATCGGTCATGGATAATACTTCTATGATAGATCACAGATAAAGGGGGAATTGGTATTTGACAAAGTTTGGACCGGTTGATTTATAGAATGAGATCCTTGCAATTGAACCGCTGATCTGGCCGTATTAGAAATGTCTAATAGTTGTATAAAATAATTGGTCTCTCTTCTTTCTTTTTTGAATTTTTTTATATTTGGGTGGGTTTAGCTACATTTAAGTGAAGGTTAATTGCGTGCTGTCGATCATTCAGTGGCTGGAATTGACGAAAACTGCCCTTTCATTTTGTTCCTGTAATTTTCTTAGCTATAATTATCATGTGCTGAGGTTGGGCCCATGCAGCCATGCTTGGAGATAAAGAGCAAATGAACCTTGTGGAATTAGGTTTTCGATGAAAAGATTCTTTTTCCTCTGATTTTGTCAAAAAGATAAAAAGTAAAAACTATACTCGGTAGTAGAAGGAAAGAGGGCAATATCCAAAAAAGGAATCTGGTAGTACTAGCTACTACTACTAACTGGGTGGTGTAGGCATCGTTGGCCAATGGCCAGTCCTCTCCTGTCTTTTTCTCGTCTTCCCTTTATTGTTCCCAATAAATAGGATTGTTGAATGTTGGCTTGGACTTTGGTGTTCTCGTGATTAGTATTATGAATTCTTATTTTCATTCATCCTTTTTAAATCTGATTATGTGAATGTTTATAATTTGATTAATTATGTTACATTGGCAATTTGCATAGAAAGAACATAGACTGCATAAATTTAGAGGTCATATTCACAAACAAGATTTTTGTGGCGTTGCCATATTGAGAAGGAAGAACAGCAGTGGATTGGGGTCCACGTGGTATCCTGATAAGGAGTTGTAAGTCGGTCCATTTTGCTGTGAACAAGCGAAAATTGTTTGGGGTAATGGGTTTGAGTGAAAACACGAAATCCTTTTACGCACTCTAATCGGTGCAAGATCTATGGTGGGTATTAGAAGACAATCTTATCCGAGAAAGAAATTGTGAGAGGCCCTTTATTCCCATCTCCATCCCAAGTTTGGTCAGTCATCAGTTTTGACTAATAATAAATTTTGTTTCCAGTCTTCTGTGCTCTTTGTCTTTTCCCTTTTCTTTATATTTGTATACTATTTAAAAGGTGTTAAATAGATTTTATTACATCTCATTAACCTATTGACGTTAAGGTCCCTCACACCTAGTTTGCATCAATCTGGCATGTACACATGTACATATACTTGCATGTCAGAAGAAACAAAAGCATGTGTAAACCACCTGGGTTTAGTTTTTATTTTGTTGAATGGGAAAGGTAAGGTTTAGGTGGACATTTTAAGTTTTAGTCATAATGCTCTTCAAATAAAAACAAAAACATGTGTTTTTTATTTGTATGCTATATGGGATCCACTGCTGGTTTTGATCTATGTGCTCCCATTAGCTGCAATTTCTTTAATTTGTCATTTTCTGTTCCCACTTAATTTGTCTTTAATTTGACATGCAAATATCCTAGGCATGGCTAAGTTTTCAATACTGCAGGAAACACCAGATTACCTGAACTTGGTTCGGCAACATCTTGACTTTGAGACTATTCGGACAAGGCTCGAAGAAGGTTGGTATTCAGGATGCAAAAGCAAGTTCTTTAGAGACTTACTGTTGCTTTTAAACAATGCCATTGTTTTCTTTGGCAAGAAGTCGTTGGAATACGCTGCCGCTGTTGAGCTTCGACAACTTGTTTCAAAGGAGATTGCTGTCCAGATTCCCAACACAAACTTGTTACCCAAAGCACAATCTTGCACGCTGCTTGAATCCCAGATGCCTATGAAACAGGAACCGGAACCAGCACTCTCCTTGTCAATGAAACCTAAATTATCAGTCCCATTGATCGCTTGTCGCAAACGGAGTTCAATTACTGCAAAAGCATCAACATCATCTTCTGGACAAGACAAAAAAAGGCAGCCAATAGCCACATTGATGAATGAGAAACCAGTTCTAGATTGGAAACAGAATGATAAATCGCCTGAGAAAGCCGAGGAAAGTCTTGTAACAAAGAAGAGAACAAGAGAAAGATCTGCCTCAGGTGCAAGAAAAGCAAGCAAAAATGTAAAGACTCGTAGTAACACAAGCACAAACAAAAATTCGGATGCCAATACCAATACTGCCATTTCAAGCAAAGGTGGGTCATCGAATGAGGATTTGGAATCCAAGGCTGAGAAGGAGAAGACCAACACAAATATCAGTTCAAAGAAGCGAAGTGCAGCAAACTTCCTGAATAGAATGAGGAGGAGTTCTTCATCCAATAATGGGCCATTAATAGAGACGCTGAAGGGTGTGATTAGTTCCGATAATGGTAAAGGAGACGGAGGTGAGCAGAAGAAAAACAGAAATAGTAAAGGTGATCAACGGAAGGATCAAATATCAACCCCACGGACACGCTCTGGTGGAAAAAGAGCGAAAGAGCGGGGAAGCCCAGCAAAGAGGAGTACAGGACGACCACCAAAGAGAGCAGCAGCACCATCTCCTGCTACTCCTTCAGTTCCTGCTAAACGGGGAAGGGAAGCTGTGGAGAACGAATCAGGTAGTGGACATGCAAAGAAGCGATCGAGAAAGTGAATGGATAATTCCTCTATCCTTTTTTTTTTTGGTATTTTTGTAAGATGGTTCAGCCCCATATAGCTAATTGTGTTAGGCGGTTAAATTATATTTTGCTCTGTCAACTGGATGTTGCTCCAGCGGGGTTGAGAATGTCTAGCAACATGGCAACTAATCATACGGAAACCAATTTCTTTTGACTCGTACGATTTGGCCAAATCTTTGACAGTCTGTTTGCAATAGACACAATGCATATACAATCCTCGAGCATAAGTCTACTTTACTCGGTAATTTGTTACCGGCTCCTTCCTTGAGATTCAAATTCCCTTAGTCTTTGTTAAGCTTTGAAATGGCAAATCACAGCAGTGTGTGCGATGAAACACTACATTTTCATCATCCTCTTGGCTACAGTCGCTGCAAATGGTGGAATGGGTCCATGCCTGGCACTGGGCTCTACGCTTAAACCATGACATGGGAACGTTGGGATCATCTTCCATTGAAGGCTTGAATGTTATTCTTGTGATGGGCCTAAGGCCTAACCCAGAGGGCAAGATGAGAATAAAAAGTTCATACTGTTTTTAAGAGAAATTTGATAATTCTGACAGATAGTCCTCCATGAGATTTTGGATGGTGAAAAACGTACCGTAAATCCCTTTTATTAAAGAGAAAAGCGAATGAATGGAAGCGAGTATTCCCTGTCAAAATGGCTTTGAGGAAATCCAAAACTTTAGCAACACTCATATTATGATTTGGCAACATCACTCCTCCTCAATTAATCATTTTTCTTTTACCTCCTTAAAATAATCATTCAGGCATTCACCAATGCTCCTATAATTCGACCCTTTTTCTCTCCTAACCTGACAACCTCAATTTCTGCTATTCTTTTCCCCCAATACCCTCCATTTCCCCCTTCTCCATAACCCCATTTCATGACGAATAGAAATTCAATAGAACCAGCCAACAATCTTAAAATCCAGTGGCATAACTCTCATTGTGAGGATATTAACAGGGCAATATTACCAATAAAATCAATGGTAAATATTGGGTAAAAGCAAATTACCTTTGACATTGAGGACATGGACAGATCTTAAAGATCCTTTTTGTTGCTATCTCCAAACGGGTTCCTCAATGCTTGGTTGCTAATCTTATTCTCTTGCAGGTTTGGTTTTGTTGATCAACTTTTTATTATTTTTATCTTTTAACGCCTTGGTGGGTGGGTCGTGGTTGGGATCTTTGTGTTTATAAAAGTCTTTTTGTTTGATTTTTATTGGTGATCACTGGATTCATGTGCTTAGGCTGAACTTTTAGGTTCTTTGAATTATTTATGCAGTTCTTGTACTGATGATTTTTTTTAATCTTATATTTTTTGTGATGATCGTTGATGGGTGTGCCTGATTGGAGTTTCTGGATTCTTGGTATTGTTTATTAGGAGTTTTGATGCTTTATATATGTGTCTGTTTATTAGTTTCTTAACTTTCTTTTCTTTTGCTTGCTTCCTGATAATTTGAGCCACAGATGATTGATCTTGTGATTCACGAGTATTTGTTGATTTCGTTGTCAATAAGGGAATGATATAGTGGAAGTCAATGTTCTATTTTAGCAGGTTGAGTTGAAATTTAATTTTGGCTGTTTCAGCAAATTTGATCAGTTTCATATCCTCATCTCTTATCTGCTGTTATTTGCCTAGTTTACTTCACAACCAGATCTAATCTATAGGGCATAATAGAATTTGCCGAACAATATATACAGGAATTCCACGTTAGATGGGTGATGATCTCTCCATGATTGATAGATTTGTTTTTCCTTATGTAGTAAGACCATTGGTTTCCTCAGGCTAACATTAGATGGGTGATGAACTCAAGCTGGACAGATTGTTGAGGTATGTACTTGTCCTTAACACCAGCAATGACTTAGTTCAAAGATTTTTCTACCGAAGAATAGTAGTTACTGAAAGCTTTGAGTTTCCTTGAGATTGCATTTTGGTGCTATCATCATTTGCAGGCAGAGTATATGTTCTTGTTTAGCAGTGCCGCCCCCAAATCTGTTAATACCAGTATAGAAAAAGTTAAGCTCTTAGATGTGTGCAGCTGTCTTATTAACAGGAGTTGGCTTTTGAATTGACCTTCTGTGGTTTAGTTGTAAGGCTGTCTTCTTTGCGAGAATCTCCCCATCTTTCTTTTAATTATTCATGGCAATTTAAGTAGGACCTTTTTGCATGAAATTCTAGCTCAATGTGAGATTAGGTAATGGCTCTCCTTTAGAGAAACCATCAAGCCATTATAGTCCCTTGAATCAGAAACTCTTGGTGAGGGTTTATGAATGTAGAAACTTCCAACGGTTGTAAACAAGCTGAAGATTGCAAATCGACAATGTTAAAACCAATCCAATTGATAGAAGCTCCTGAAGGAGAGGCAAAAGTTTTAAGTCCTATCTTTGGGATCTCCTGTTTCTCTCTGTTAGCTGTGACCAGGCCAATTCTTTCACCACCTCCTTAAAATTTACAAGCAGTCTGGAAAGCATACTAGGACTGTCCTCTGCCACTTCAAACCCAAAACTATACTTAATAGCATGTCATGTGTCTACTCATGGTGATTTAATTGGTGTTAAATTGAACGATTCATTCTCAAGAAATATCACAATAAATTTTGTTGCAAATGCAGTTTTTAAAGTCACTGAATCCTGTGTATTCCAGTTCTCATTATGCTGTGGCTTGCAGCATTAGCATATGTTGGGAAAAGATAGTGGAAAGCTTGGTTGCAACCAATACACGGATTTCACATGCTATGCACAACAGACTGCAGCCATTTAGCCCAAAATATCAAAATTTTTACATTGAAGACTGCCATGGGTAATTTTACATTCCAGTCCATGTCATCCGAATGATGAGGGAAAGCAGCTATTTTCCAAGTACATTAAGTTAAAGCACGGATCCTCGTACAAGATTCTGGCAAACTTCTTTATCCAATGAGGACCAGATGCAGATTCCGAAAGGAAAAAAAAAATCAAAGAAATAGGAAATAAAAAATCCAACTAGTCAATCTCTGATGGCGTCCACAATACCACTGGCTGTCTACAGCCTTACAGCCGGTCCATTGGTTGCCCACGCGAGAAGGGTTGTTCTCCATCTGACAATTAATAAGAGAAACAAAAGAATTAGGCTCACCGGTGTACACTAATTCAGAAAAAGTTTAACCTTGCGCACAGCATCGTTGAAATGCCATAATTTGTGAAGCAAAAACTTGGTTCATCTAATAACAGCCAACCATACACTGTCTATGCACTCTGGATCAAGACCAATTTGTACTATTAAAGCAGTAATCCAGTACAACCTCTGTCACTTACATGTTGCAAATAAAAAAAAAACAATACAACATGGGCTGAGTAAATAAATTTTATTTCTGTCTTGATCCATTCAAAACAATGTTCCAGATGGTTTTGTAGAAGAAAATCACCTTATCTTACATGTTTGAAAAAAAGAAGAAAAATTATGCAACTAGCTTCCTCAACAAATTGAATGGAATAAAAACTAATTCTAATCAGTACTAATACAAGTGCTGGGCTATCTGCAATATGCAGAAATGAATGCAAAAGATCACTATGTACACATATATTTATTACCACTTTCCCCATCCGATGCATCGGCAAGCCTAGCAATAGCATCAATGAGAGCTTGTTCATGCTCCTGCATTACATATATTGATTAGGCTTGCAGTACTAAGCAATGAAAAGGAAGCTATATCCAGGTGGGTATGAATCGATAATAATCTTACTTTTAACTTTTTCTTCGCCTTCTCAAGCTCAAGAGGATCAGGATTACTTGTATCAAAAACCCTCTCCACCTGTTGATGGGATCAAAATAAGAATTAGCTAACAACTTAAAATGTGTATCTCAATTTGACATGTAACAACATCAGTTGAGATGGCTCTCCATAAATACCTCCTTTACTAGTGTCTCTGTGTTAAGCAACTCAATATCATCAGACACTTTCTTTGCAATACCATTCTGTGACGGCAAAAATTCTTTTCTGAATTGGCCCTTCACTGAACCTCGACCTCTTCCAGGACCTGGAGCAGGAGCACCACGACTGAAGGATTTCTTAGCTACATGAAAACCAGGGCCTCCTCGATATGATATGCCCGGGTCCTCACCATCCCATCTGATATCGTCTGGAGAAATCTGTAATCATTAGGAGATCAATATTGTTCTCAATAAAATGTTGACAAAAAACTATTTGCTGGTAAGAAACATTCCACTTTGATGAAGCAGCAAACAATTGGCAGGCTAAGATAATTAAAATCAGCTCTTTCAATGCAAGAAAGCAAACAAATAAATATCCCAACATGCTCGTATTCCCCACCCTACTGTTCTTTCAAACACCCCGGGAACCACGGACAAAGCGATATGGTAATTTTTGAAAAATTAGGATACAACACAGTAATAAAATATAAATTTAATACATATAATTGATATATGCGTATAATTTAATTAATTTTTCATTAAAATTTATTATTTTATATATCTTTATTAGTTTTTAATCTAAATATAGACTATGCATTAAAATCTTTCAAAATATATAAAAAACTAATTAGATAGCATTTTGTTACAACAAATAATTCTATTACCGTGCATATAAAACAATTAATTGTATTAGTATACTTTAAATTTATTTGGCCCAATTGTTATTTGGGTTTAAAATTCTAACACAACAAGTTTTGAATCTTCCAACTAGAGGTCCATTTAAGCCAACTCAATTTAATACTTAAGCCCTAACTCTATTAACCCATATTCTCTATCCTTTTCACCATTGCAGCATCTGGTTTTGGAAGCGCAGCTGTAGCATCTCCTTCTACTAACCAACTTTTCCAATGGTTAGAATTTTTGTGACTTCTACAACAGTTCATTCTTACTTGCTTTGGGCTCAAGCAGTGTGAATCTAAGCATGTGCAAGACATTGAAAAGTTGGTTGGAAGATTACATGATCGATGGGATAAAAGGAGATGCAGCAGCTGCACCACCAAAACTAGATGTTGCATTGGTGAAGGAGGAAATGGATTAATATAGTTAGGGCTCAAGTATAAAATTGGGCTGGCTTAAATGAGCTTTTGATTGGAAAATTTAAAACTTATTGAGTTAGAATTTTAAGTTTATACAACAATTGAGCCAAATAAAATTTATCTAATAAGATCTTAATAAAGGAGACTGCTCAAAAATCTAATAAGATTTTAATCCTCATAAACCAAATGGCATATCCTGTATCATTATACACATGTCCCATTTCTCTCTGTGCTTCCTAGTCAAAGACTAAGACTGGAACAGCAAGGAATAAAGAAGACTGCTCATAAATCTCCCAATAGACAAGTTCAATCACCTTGGCAACATGGATTAGGAATTGAGCTAGTAGATCATTTTAAGGCTCTGGTACATAACCGTGAAGAAAATGGCTTCCAGATGTCATTTTCCAATGTTTGGATGGTAGAATATAAATTGGTCAACAGAAGTTAGCTTGCTGGTGCAACGAAAAAGCAACAAAAGACACACACAAAAAAATATCCTCTGGTTTTTTGAAAGGGGAAGACAATTTCCAAAACACATGAAAGGTCTTTTCCCTTGCCAAGCATCTTCACCACACAAACCCCTAACTAAAGACTACCCAAACCGAAGAGCCAGTATAATCCCCTTCCTATCCGATCTCCATTTCTTGCTCCCTTTTTTGCTCCCTTTCTCCCTCAAACCTCAATCCACTCTCATTTCTCACTCTCAAGCGACTTCCTCTCCCCACAGAACTTGCCACCGCTAACAGCAGCTCTTGTTCCTTAGCCCTTGCCCCCTTTCTTGTTAAATCAAACTCCATCTCTCTACTCTAGACCAGCCATTAACACCCTGAAATCTTCATGGATTTCAAACTTTTTAAGTGTTATAACAAAGTCACATAAAATACGAAATCTAAGAATTTCCTTTGAGATCATTGAGGCTGTTGCATTTTTTTTTATTTAATTGAATTTGGGGTATAATGGGTTTCTGTGGTGATTTGATTTGAGGTTTTCTGTAGCAGAAATATGAGTGCGAATAATGAAATTTTCTAGTTTAATTTCCATTGAAAGAAAGATGAAAGATATTTTTGTTATCTTTTAAGAAATTTATATTTTGCAAATTTTGATAATCTTGATGAAAATTTTTCCAAATCTTCATTGTATTCCAACCACCAGAATATATTTTCATAATGACATCCAAACACCGGTAAACTTTCTTTTTTCAGGGAAGTTATTTTCAACAGAAAACATCTTCCTCGAGCAAGTAATTTTCTAATTACCAAAAGGAGCCAGTAAACATGGTTATTGCTTCTAAAACTCTACTAAGTTACCAGGTAACCCCTGCCACTCATTCTGCTCCCTAGTTTCGATATGTTGTGTACTACCAATTAACGTACCTGGTGTCAAAAAATCTGCCAACTATGATGCTAATATTTATTGACCATATCAATCCCCTAAACATTTGTCTTGTTTTCATCTTAGCATTTGGAAGAAGTAAGCCATATTGTCATATCTGTATCAAGGAACCATTTTACTCAACTTTGATACCTTCATACTTTTGGATTATTTACTTTCTATATCCCTAATTGGAAGGATGAAAGAATCATAGTCATTATTCTAACTAATAGTAGCCAACTCAACATCAAAACCAACTACAATATTGATAATTGGATTTGTCATTCTCAGGCTGAGATCTGTACGTTATCTCTGTATTTGGATTGGTTGTCATGTCTAAGAAAGTATATTGGGTGCCAAACAACTGCACAAGATCTATCCAAGCAAAGAGACCAATGAATGTTGCCACAGAAAGGACACAGGATAACTGATTTCATAAATATGTCTATATGGTTTCTGGTATTACAATAGGTTATGGGAAAGGAAATCAAGATAATGAAAGAACTTACTATGAAAAGAAAAGATATAAAGGATTTGAGAAAATATAATGACTAAAGAAATGAAGCACCAGGCATTGATGCATCAGGAAAGGCAACCATACCATACAAATCATAGGTATCTATAATGGCTCACTTTCTCGCAAGTTAAGAGGATAGGCAAAACTAACAAGGAAACTAATTATCCAATGCATAAACAACCAAGACTGCCAGAAAAAGAACACCAGATTCCTAGGATGTCCTAGAATATAAGGTTAAATACGTTATAAGAATATCAAATTGCACAGTAATTGCATAAAAACTATCATCCTTCCACTGAACATAAAGATTCCCATGTCGTTAAACTAAAGATTCACACCAGGAACCAATTGCAACTGCTTCTACGGACCCCCATTCCCTTTTTAATGGTTACAATCAAAAGAACAATTTTTGAGGGATCTCTTTATGACAGTCTAATATTTTCCCACTTCCAAAAAGACCTTTATTAGATTGAGAGAGTATGACATTATAAGCCTTCCAAATTTCTTCCCTGAAACCAACAAACCTCAACTAAGCCAAAGCGTAGCTAACTTCCAAATTCAGAGGAGATTTTCGGAGATATAGAAATCCTTTAATAATGAATTTTATTTTTCCTGAAATAAGCTTCCCTAACTATGCAAACTATATTGTTCAATACATTCTAACATTGTTGCTGCACAAAATAATGACTAGCAGGCACAAATGATTCAGTTCATGCTAAAAAATCATATCCACTTACCTCTTTGAGATCAACCCATTCCCACGTCTCATTTGCTGTATTTATATCATAAACCAGAGCATGTCGTCCCTGTCAAAAAATAAGAATAATTACAAAACATACTGATGATGGCTTAACAATTCACAGAATATTAAACTAGTTCTAAAAGGCATTTTAACAGCTGATATTATTGACAGATCGCATATAAATTAGCAAATAGAGACAAATAACATGGTTCCACCATTGGGAAATGGAAAAGAAGTGTTGCATAAATCTTTTGATTCACAAGTCAAGTACCAAGATAAACAGGTCCAGAAAGTGCACCAGTGACAAAGCCTTAGGTTGTCATGCATATGCTTTCAAAGTTATATATTGTTAAAACTTACAGCATCACCAAAACAAGTACTGCTTTAAGATAAGTCTCAGAGTGAGACACAGAAAATGTCCTTCTATGCCTTTAACATACCTCAGAGGGATTGTAATCAGTGATTACAGCTTCATAGAAATTGTTGTCTTCAGGCCATCTTGTCCACACTTTCCTTCCAATTAAGGGTTCAAATGTTGCTCCTTCAGCAGGTTCATTTGCCAAAAGGCTGCCAACAGAACCACGGTTATTGAATTGCCTAGTTCCAGCAGAGACTGTAGAAGAGTAATGCACGGCCTTTGCAGAGGATAAGCCAGGTAATGACTGACCCTGTTAGGGTAAAATGTGAGTAAAACAAAACAAGGTAGATGGAGGCCAATGTACTCTTCTGCATTTCTATCATGAAAATAAGAACATTGCTTCTAGCGTTAGGCCCCAATTTCTCAAGCAGTTTGCTAATTTGCATTCAAAGAAGAAAGCTGAATGCACAGAACTACTAACATGACAGGTTTTGAAACCTGTGGTTGCACAGCAATGGTAAGAGAAGTTACCGATTGGGATGTCTTCTGTTTCTTGCGGGATGCTGAAACAGTTGGACTAGGTAAAAGACTGTGAACAGGCTGAGATGCACTAAGTCTTGCAGCCTGGTTCCCACCAGCTTGTCTCCAGTCCCTGCAAGCATTGCCCACATATAACCCATTAAACAAAAGAAGATACAAAAACCCATTGAATCAATTACTGTCCCCTAATAGTGAGAACATTTAATAAGCATTCAGACCTTATTCTTCTGATGATATCATCAGCATTAACTTTGGTCAGAAGCTCTCTATGCTCATCATCGGACACCCTCAGTTCTTTCCTAAGTTCTGTTATCAAGCCTTCCTTTTCCTGAATATGCAGCATATGACAGAACATGCAAACCTGATCAGCTTGAAATAAATAGGAAAGCTTATTAAAAACAAGAAGTACAAATACAGAAAAGTAAATACCCAAGTAATTGCATCGGATTGAGCTTTAAAGGCACGTAGGACAGAACAGTAAGCTTCCTGCTCAAGTTGATGTATTTGGGCCTCCATGTCAAAATGCATCCTAGAAAATGAGCCAGAACCTACGATAGATCTTCCATTGCCAGTAATATTACCCCCTCTTGAAACTCTAGTTTGATGTGATGGAGGCAGATCATCATCAGTACCTGTAGTCATTTCAGATAAAACCATGCATGATCATGCTGCATAGAGGATCCAAGGACATTAACTAGTCATCTGATGCCCTTGCTTGAAATGTTTACTAGTATTAATCTCTTTGATATGTACCAAATTTATTAGGGGGTAAAAGAACAGTTATACAGGAAGTGTAAAGTTACAAATGCACATAAAGGAGAAGAAAATAACTGATCTATCATGAATCTTCTTGCATACTATCATAAAAGTTAATCAATTTATGCATATAAACACGAACCCAAATTTAACTAGGTCTTTGCAGGTCACAAAGTACAAAGTTAAGGGGTATAGATACAATATGGTTAAACTAGAAAAAAGAGAAACGCGAAGATACTGCATTGACTATAACTGGTCTAGTAAGCAACCAAAATCAAAGATCAAAATTGCAAATCCAGGTGGACAATTTAAACAATAATAATTCACAAAGGAAAATCATTTGAAACAATTAAAAGAAAATAAAATAGTTTATTGCCAGGACGAATAAACCTTAACTGCCAATGCATTCTTCTAACAACAAAAGCTATTTGTTTATTCTCAAGTGTCAACTAACCAAAAATCTAGTAAACTATGAACTAGAAGAAAGGAAAGAAAAGAAAACCATTTTATCGACCAGATAACAAGAAGTTCCTTTTCATCGTGGATTTCTTTACATTCGAATCCCAGTTAGAATTCAAAATAAAACAAGCAAATTGCACCTAAAAGTTGAACGCCAATCAATATCTTGGAAAGCAAAAGCCAAATAAAACCACATAACACCATTACCCAAATCAAAGTTATCAAAATTGTAATGACCTGCATTAAACCCTTAAACCCTCATATCTCACCTTACCCCACCCCCCCCCCAAAAAAAAAAAAAAAAACCCAGTGCACCCATTATCCAATTTCCAAATACAAATAAAACCCACAACCCCAAACCAAAAAAAAAAAAAAAACCCAGATACACCACATTGTTTAATGCAAAAATATGACATTAATTAATGCAACATACCACTACTATCGCAAACTTCATAGTCCATACCAAGAAAAAAGAAATACAAGGCCGAAAAAGATCTTTCTTTGTCGAAGAAGAACACAAGCGGAAACCCTAACAAGAAGTTGCCCCGAGATAGAGATTAAAGGAAGAAGCTACTAATAAATATGCTCCAATGCAATCCAGAACCCAGTTAAAGTAGCTAGATTTAGAGAGAAAGATGGAAGCCTTTTTTCCTCTGTTGTTTTGAAAGAGATTTGATTGGTTTTGTGGAGAGAGAAGAAAGACAGAGAGAGATCTGTTAACTGGGAAAAGAGCGAGAAGAGGAGGGGCTTTTGGACTTAAAACTACTCACGGCTTGGCTTTTCATAGAGATTTATGTTTGCTGTCGTGTTCTTTTTCCATTTTTATTGTTAAGGTTGGCTTTTGGTTTCGGTAAGTTCGGGTCCAGTTCGGACAAGCTTTGGTCCAAAATGTTTTGTATTGTTGTGTTCTCTTTGGGCTCACAGGGGCTCAAACTGTTAGAAGATATTGCAGATTGGGCCTTTTGGGCTATAGTTCTTTTTTATTTTATCCTTTTTTGAGCTCCAATACTTAGTATTGAATGTGGAGCACTTGCTAGCTTCATGACACAAGCATGCATTTATCAATGAGACAATTACTCCAATACATATTATAAGTAATTTAATATTAAAACATTGATATGGAAAAATATATTCCTTACATTTAAAATTGAATTTCTTTTATATATTTTTTTGGGTCAAGCTTTACCAACTTTGATTATAATATAATTTTTTGTGATATTATGTGAAATTAAAATTTCACGATTAGATGTGAGAATTTTTTAGAATTTATTTTTGTGAAATTTTAATTTCACATAATATTAGAATTAATAATGATTGAAGTTGGTTTTGTTTGACAAAATAAATTGAAAGTAGAGATTCAATTTGAAACAAATGAAGTATTAGTTTTGATATATGAATTAAGATGTGTTTTACGAAAGAAGTATTAATTTTGATACATAAATTAAGATGTTTAAAACATGAATATCTTTGCTCCACCTGTTTGGAAAAGCACATGGTTAATTGGCCTTTGTCATTTCCGACATAGATTTGAATATTTTCCTTTTCCTAAAGGAAGAGTAGGCTAACTTACTAATTAATTAATTAATCATTTGTGACATAAATTTGAATATGTTTTCCATTTTTTTTACAAAAGAGTAATTAATCTTAAAAAATAAACTCAATAATCTTATTGAACAATCCTCCTTTTGAAAGATCCACGATTTACATATGATTTTAAAATTTATTTTACATTTTATAAATTAATTTTAATTTATTAATTTAATTTGATTATTTATTAATGATATACATTCAAATTGATTTTTAAATTACTTTATTTCGAGTTTGAGTTTCAATTGAGTTTTATAATGGGTATCTAATTCTTTATAATTTAATATATTGGGTTTGAGTTTTTTATGAGTATCGTAATTCAGATTTTGGTACTCAATTTTTTTTTCTTTTTAACCTTTTAGCTGCTTTTGTTTTAATTATTTTGTTATTTACTTAGGGTGGGGTCTCTATGGACGGGCTGGGCTCAATTTTTCTAAGCTAGGGCCGCGTTTGGTCAAGATTTGAAGCCCGAATTTTTGGGCGAGGCTGGGCCTGGACAAATATATAAAATATAATACAATATAATATTACTACCTTGTTTAGACCCGACCAGACTCATGGACAGCTCTAGCCCCTAGATTAGAGGTTCAACATTTAGATTCTTTCTTTTGATCTCGTTCAAATATTGTCAAAAAGAGAAAAAAACCCAAGATGATATGTGCAATGTGAATGTTGTTCCCTTTTGTTTTGTCAATGGTTGTTATATTTATAGCATGTTTGGTATAAAGAATAACTAAGCTATTCTCTGTTTATTCTCATGTTTTTTTTTTATTTTCATTTGATATGCAATATCATAAGGAGTAGTTATTACTAAATAATAGCTATTTTTTAAAATGAAATAAAACTCAGGCTTAATTAAACTCGAGTTTTCTCATGAGTTTTGCTATTTCATGACTGAGAGAATAGTCTTAAAATATGATAAGAGTAAAATACCCCTTATAACTTAAAAATATTACAACCTTAGACCTATAAATATTTCTTTTTCTTCTCATTTTTCCTTTTTTCTATCTCTTTCTTCTCATGTTCTTTTCTTTCTCATTCTCTCTAACTTGCACTATCACCGGAGATAGCATCGACGGCGACGGCGACAGCGACGATGATGGAGGTTTCACACCAGATCTAGGATCTACGGTCTGATCTGACCATAGGAAGCACTGAATTTGATGCTTCCCGACCAAATCCCCACGGCCGGATCTGGCACTCCATGGCCAGATCCAGTGGTGAGAAGCGTCGATCTGGCGCCTTAGTGGCTAGATCAAGCCACATGATGCACCAGATCGACATTTCATTACACCGGTAACATTTTCGGTGGTCTTCCCATGGAGAAGAAGAAAAAAAAGAAAAAAAATTAGTTATAAATTTTAAAATATTAATATTTTATATATAATTTAAACATTATTAATACTAATATGATTAAAATATTAGTATTTTAAAATATTAATGTTTTCTTTATTAAATTATTAATATATTAAATTTTCAATGAGTATAAATAAAAAATAAAAAATTATTATTATTTGAATCATAATAATATTAAATTATAAATAAAATATTAATATTTAAAATATTAATAATTAAATTATACTAAAATATTAATGTTTAAATTATAAATTATTAATATTTTAATTAAATTATAAATTATTAATATTTAACAAATAAATTAAAAAAATCATATATATAATAAAAGATATTTTTATTTTTTACTTTATATTCTTTTTTTATTTCAAAATTATTATTACCAACCAAACACTGCACTAAGTCATAATAATTATTCTTGTTTTATTCCATTCCTCATATCAAATTACATAATAACTATTTTATTCTATTTTCACCTTATTCTGTTCTCATATAATAACTATTCTATTCTATTTTTACTTATTTCGTGAACCAAACGTAATCTTAGTGTATTACATATGACATTTGTAACTTTGCGCCACCATTCTAAACAATAAAATAACCATACTAATCAATGCTGATGTAAAGGCATATTCATATAATTGAAACAGATCATGGGTAGCTACACCAGCACTATTATTAAGAATAGTGAAGCAGTAACATGACGGTCAAGAGTTTGTTCGTCTTACCTATTGGTTGCTATAGGAATTGTCAAAGTTGCTGAATTACACGTTTCATACCTATATATATCCTAGATAGCCTAATCTCTCCAAGAAAATCCATTAGAAAATTAAGAGAATTGAGGTTCCAGGAATTCTTTTAAGGAGTAAGTGAATGTATAGCCAATGAGAAATCACATTTAGCTGACAAGCCGGCTGTGCGTAGTTTGGGTTAATGGCCGTTCACATGCTAATTTTATAACTCAAAAGTTAGCCTCTCATCATCAACCAAATTAATCTATGGTTTCCACATTTCACATTTCAGTAGCTACGATGGGTGGGGAATGCGAAACATACAATAGATGACTACTACTTTTGGCAGAATTGAGCCAGATTGAGGATAATAGAGGTGTAAAAAAGGATAGAATTTTTGTAAGATAGAGGTAATTTCTTCTGAAGTGACAAAGGTGGATTAATTACCTATATATCAACTTAGTCTTAACTTGGAAGGCATATATATACAACTAGCTAGCCCTAAAGCTAAATGAAGAACATGGATACTCAGGTACTTGGTTGTGATACACGTGCCTTGTCACATGATTTTTATAGTTTAATCTCTGTTTGCAGGATTATAATGAAGCCAGAAAACTTAATAGTCAATTCAGCATCACATGATTGGCAACTTCAAAGTTCAGGGGCGGTGAAAGGTTGGGAAAAAGTACCATTTGTATAATGAAATCTACAGCATCTTCAATAATGAACCTAGATTTGCCATTGTTTTTGTGAGGAGGGCTGAGTCTACTACAGGACAAGATATAAACCTGCTTGCTTTTTCATTCTTTGCTTAGGTAATCAGATTGGAAACGCATGCTATATATTTATATGTTTACAGTCAAAATTGAATGATACTAAGTAATTGAAAATTTTACGAGTTTCTCATCATATAGATAGAAAAAAGATAAAAGCTAAAAAGCTTGAAAAGCTGACTCCAAACTTAACATTCGCTGTTAATTCTTACTGTCAGAAAGGGATTTGTCTTTAGCTTGATGAGTAAAAACTTTATTATTCTCTTGTATTGACCTAAATTTGAGTGAAATTAACTCATTTATCATAGTATTGGAAAACACAAAGGAGTGTCCTTTCCCATCGTTGGAAAAATAAAATCAATCATCAATGTGTATATATGTATATATATATATATATATATATATATATATATGTGCTAGTGGGTTTATGCAAACCACGTGCAATGAACACGCATGCATGCTGCCCTTATAAACCTGCTCCAAGTTATAGATCCTTCGAGTGCTTGATTTCTCATTCACTGATCATTTTCTTCTCCGAACTCCACTCTGATGAAGATCAGTTCCATAAATTTGATTGCTTTCGTTGCCTTAATTCTAGTTCACATCCTCATCATGTGCTCATCGTTGTGTCTCTGCCATGGAGAAGTTCCTGCCGGAGAAAGATATCAGATGTCAAGAAAGCTACTGTCATCCGTGGCTTCGTTTCCTGCCGGTGAAAACAAGTTGAATGGAGCCATGAAAGAGCCCAAGAAAGCTGTGGAGCCAAGTCTGAGGAAAGCACCACCCACTGTCCCAAATCCTACCCAGAACTAGCAGTTTATACTACATGATCCGGAGATCTCTCAACAAAAATGAAGGATCCACATATTTTTTGTTAGTTCAATTTTTTCTCTTTGTCTTTTTGAAGCTTATTGGATCTTTAATTTTGGCCTTCCTTCATTCTTAATCTTTGAACATCTAGAGTTATCTGTGTAGTACTTATAGTGTTTTCTTTAAGTAGATTTGTTAGAAAAATATTGTATTTAAAGTATGCATGTAAATAACGTCTTGAATTAGATAATTCAAATATTTGTTATCTTTGGTTTCCATCTTTCTGAAGCTTTATTAATTTGTTCCCTCAAAATTGTTTCAAATTGAAATTGATGGCCAACACAAATCAGAAGGCATAAATGTTTCAGGCAAGTGCTTGAAACCTTTTTGCTGCAGTCTTTGAATTTCATTAGTTTATTATCAGTTTCTGATCACTGACAGTTTTCTTGGTAATTATTGGTAAGTAAACAACTTACAACCCCGAGACCTACAACTACTTTGGGATGGGGAATGCACTGTCTAATT